CTGCTTCACTTCTTCCTTTCCTATCTTTATTCCTTTTATTTCTTTCTCTTTTCTAATTGCTATGGCTAATGTTTCCAGAACAATATTGAACAGAAGTGGTGATAGTGGGCATCCTTGTCTTGTTCCTGATTTTAGTGTGAAAGTTTTCAGTTTTTGACCATTTAGTATGATGTTGGCTGATGTTTTTTCATAGATAGCCTTAATCAGTTTGAGATAAAGACCTTCTATTTCAAATTTCTGTAGCGTTTTTATCATGAATGGGTGTTGGATTTTGTCAAATGCCTTTTCTGCATCTATTGAGATGATCATATGGTTTTTGTCCTTGACTGTTAATATAGTGTATTACATTTATTGATTTTCGAATGTTGAACCATCCTTGCATCCCTGGGATAAATCCAACTTGGTCAGGGTGTATGATCTTCTCGATGACCCTCTGTATTCTGTTTGCCAGTATCTCTTTGAGGATTTTTGCATGTATGTTTATTAGGGAGAGTGGTCTGTAGTTCTCTTTTTCGGTTGGGTCTTTCTTTGGTTTTGGAATGAAAGCAACACTTGCTTCCAGGAATGAATTTGGAAGCCTTGCTTCCCTTTCAATTTCCTTGATGAGTTTAAAGAGTAATGGCGATAGTTCTTCTTTAAATGTCTTGTAGAATTCAGCAGTGAAGAAGGGCTTGCATTTTTATTCACTTGGGTCTGCAGCATATGGTAGGCGCTTGATAAATGCCTGTTGAGAGTGTGGAGCACTCCACAGAATTCAATTACTTATTGATCACTACAGCAGAATCCCCTCTTTCCGCACGCCTCCTTTACCTACCCTCTTCCTACCCCACTCGCTCCAATCCACTCCCGGCTTCCCGCCTCCCCTCCCCAACCTCGCCTCCCTCCGCGTCGCGAAGGCGGGGAAAGCGAAGCGGGCTTTACGGCAGCCGTTGCGGCGGGGCGGGGCGCCGGGTGTCGGCGCGCTTGGCGGCAGTTGTGGGAGGCAGGCCGGCCGGCAGACGGACTCGCGGGCGGGTAGTGGTGGCCAGGCTCGCTAGTGAGGGCGGGAGGGAGTGAGTCAACTGAGTGTGTGTGAGGGAAGGAAGGAGAGAGCGGGCACCCGCGCCGTCCGCCCACAGCACCCGCCAGGCCCCGCGCCTCCCCGCCGCCCCGCGCCGGGCCGAGCCGGGTCGGGTCCGGGCCATGCTGCTCACCGTGTACTGTGTGCGGAGGGACCTCTCCGAGGTGACCTTTTCCCTTCAGGTTGACGCCGACTTCGAGCTGCACAACTTCCGCGCGCTATGTGAGCTCGAGTCGGGCATCCCCGCAGCCGAGAGCCAGGTACGCCGGGCAGCGAGCAGGGCCTCCCCGGAGCCGTCCCGCCCTGGGCTTCTGGAGAAGACCTGGGGAGCGGGGAGCAGGGTGGCGGGGCCCAGTCTCCTCCGCAGCTGCGAGGGCGCCGGAGTCGGGAGCTGCCCCCACATCCCGGCCGGGGCGGGGGACTGGACGGGGAGCGGAGCGGAGCGCCTGCCCGCGGTCGCGCCCACTGCAGCGCGAGGGGCACGTGGGCTTCCCGGCAGCTCTCCACGCCTTCTGGTTCGTTGGCCCCTTTTCTCCTACTAGTCTGGAGTTTGGGGTGTCGCCGTGAACCCAGGCAGCAGCTTTGGGTTGCAGGCAGGGTTCAGACACGCTGCTTCCCCAACCAGAAATACCAGTTTGGAACACTGGTAGGTAGATGTTCATCTGCAGTTTGGAGCTGGTTCAGGCTTAGATATACGCAGTTTACCTTTAAACGTATAGACTTGCACTTTAGATGAGGGGGAAAATTCGCTTTACCTCTTTCTGACGTCTTTGGAAAAATTCTTTTCCCCCTTTCGCATGCCTATCTGGTTAAATTCTTTTAAAAAGTAACACTTGGTTCAACTCAAGCTGTTTGTTTCTCAGGATTCTTTCCTGGTAGTAAGCCAAAGTCCCTCCTTGTTTTGTTTTTTGAGGCAAGGTTTGTGTAGTCCAGGGTGGCCTTGAACTCACTATGTACCCCAGGCTTGCCTCGAATTCTCAGTCAACCTGCTTCACTCTGCCTCAGTATCTCATGTGCTGGGACTAGGGACGACAAACGTGTGCCACCATCCCTAGCAGAAAGCCCTCTTTTCTTTCAGGTCACGATTCGGTTTGGGTTAATTCAAAGCTCAGGGCTTTATAAGGATATAAGCTTGAAAATGGCCTACAGTGGTATCTTCTTAGTGGGACTCTTTCATTTCCCTACCCTACTTACTGTAAAGGAGTTCAGCCTGGCACATTTTAAATAAGCAAAGTAATTTATTCTCAAGGTGCTTTGGGGCTTCAGTTGTTTATCAAACAGAATAGATGACAACAGCTCCGAAGCCTTTACCCTAAAGCACTTTCTGCCTTGATAAAGAGGGATTTGGAGGCCATAAGGCTAAACACTAGAAAAATTATAGAAATCCTCCAAGGTCCCAGAATGTAAATCTTGATTTCCTACTGCAGTTATGAAATAGTTCCAGAAACTATTGCCCAACTACAGCTTGTTATGCCCTGTCTTATGATAAACAAAAGTGTCAATATTTTGTTCAGAAGGCTGGTTCCCTTACACAATGTGAACTTTAAAATCTTGGCATAAACCTATTAGAAAAATTTTTTTCAGGACACGAAGTGTCACTTAAATACTGGACTCCCACCCCGGAGCTCCCAAAAAAGTTAATCCATTAAAACTAAGGAACCAATTCCTGACAGTGAATCTGTCACGTGGAGAACTAGGAAAGGTAATTTTAAGGAGAAAAATTGGCTTTTCCAATGTTCCTTTCCTTTTGGCTGTTAATACTACCCTGATTGTAATCACCAGCTGGAAAGAGAAATAAAAAAATTAAATGTAAATTGACTTAAGTGGGATCTGGGAAAGGACAGGGGTTGAGATTGTTAGATTGTTTCTCTTCCTAGACTCTGTGTTTGTGTTTGTTTGTGTGCATGTGTGTGTCTGTGTGTGTCTGTGTGTGAAACAGCCACGTGATGCTAGGGATGGAACCCAGGACTTGAGCATGCAGGCAAGTGCTCTACCTCTGAGCTACATACCCTCCTACACTTTTTCAGATTGGTTGTAACAAATTTTTTTTTCTGGTAGGGGGATTCTCCCACCCTCTAACAAAAAAATTGAGTACATTAAAGGGGAGTGTCAAATGGAAAGACAACTGCACTGTATAAACCAGTTAGATTACATGCCTGTAATCCCAGCTACTCAGGAGGCTAAGGCAGGAAGATCACAAGTTTGAAGCTAGTCTGTACAATTTGGTGAGACTTTTTGTCCAAAAAAAAGTAAAAGGGCTGGGGATGTAGTGGAGTACTCCTTGGGTTCAGCCCTCTGTACTTAAGAAAAAAATTTGTATAGTCAAGACAGACACTGTCCTCTGCCAATTAGGAAATTTAGGAATACTGTACATAGTTAAACAATTAGGCTGACTCCAAATTCTTCCTTGTTCATTATGTCAATATTTTAGCATTTGCTTTCTTCTGAAGCCAAATTAGCATATACAAATCGTGGCTATGACTAGAGTTAAGGCAGTATTAGCTGTAAACAGCAGCCTGTTTTTCAAGTTCTGTTGGCTCCATTGTAACTTGACAACATAGTATCTATTTTAAGATGTCTGGTGGTCGGTTGTCTTTCACTGGCTTGCCCATCAGGCAGGAACCTATCCACCCAGACACTTGAGTCGTTTCCTTTCATCAGATCGTAAAAGTAAACAGTAGTTTTTACCCACAAATAATTGTTTTCCCTTCTATGCCCCCCACCAGCTTACCTCTCAGGACTCTCCCCTTCTTTTGAGTTCTAGTCTGTTTACTGGACTCAGGTTGACCACCTTCTTTCTCTTTACCTTCCATTTCTTGCGGGGGGGGGGGGCCGGGGAGGGGTACTGGGGATCAAACTCTGGACCTTGCACTTTCGAGGAAGGCTGGGAACCACTGAGGTAAATCCCCGTTCCTACCTTCCATGTCTGATTCCATTTCTTGAAGGTTTTGTTTTCTTTTGTTTTGTTTTTTATAATGTCCTGGCTAAATTTTCCTATCCCCAAGTGTTCAGAGCACTGACTTCAACATATTCATGTATCTCTTATCAGTTCCAGAACATGCTTCTTGCACTATACATGTAGTAGATAACATGTATATTGTAGAACATGTATACATTGCATATGTACATTATGACCACAAACTACAGCTCAAAGGATGAATTAAGATAAATGAAAATTCTAGAATTTTCTGTTTTCTCCTTATATCGTTAAAAGAGTTGTCTTGCATTCCTCTCCTTCATTGGGGATCACTAGTTTATAATTCAGCCTTTATATCAATGTTTAATGTGCATATGCCGACACTTCAAAAGGTGTTAGGGTTTTTCTTTTGGAACCGTGGATCAAACTCAGGACCTTGTGCTTGCAAGGCAGGCAAGGTGCCACTGAGCTAAATCCCTGGCCCAGGTGTTAGTTTTTTTAACAACTAGACATCATGATAGTAGTTATTCTATTTTAGCAGTAATAGATAGTAGTAATTCTATTGTAGTTGGTTTGGGCATGGTTATTTTTTCAGGCAGCTTCCTTTCTTTTTTTTTTTTTTTTTTTGATACCGGGGATTGAACTAAGGACCTTGCACTTGCCCTGAGCTAAATATCTGGGTAACTTTCATATTTTAAAAAAACAAATAGTACAAAAACCTAAAAGTAGGGGCACATGTCTATAATCCCAGCACTCTAGAGGTTGAAATTTGATGATTGAAAATCAGAGCCCAGCCTGGGCAATTTAGCCAGACCCTGTCTCAAAATTAAAAGAAAAAAAAATTTGTAACACATAGGAAAGGATTAAATATACAATCACTTATTACCGCATAACAGAGATAGCTACAATTCACTTTTTAGTGGGGTTTTTTTTTCTAGGCTTTGTTCCTTTATATGTTTGATGTGTCTTTTAAAGTAATGGATCCTGAACAGTATAAATAATTTGTTACTTCAGTAACAACTGGTACATTGTCAGCATTTTCGTATAACTTTTGAATTCCTTAAAATTTGGTCTTATCAGCTGCATAATAATATTTAGGTTTAATATAATTCATTTAACAGTTTCCCTGTCGCTGGGCGTTTGAAAGCAGTTATGAGTAACATTGCAGTAGACAGTAGACATCCGTTTAAGGCTGTGTCCCTCATTTCTGATGATGTTCTCAGGATAAATTCAGAAATGCCAGGTCAAAGGCATAAACTTTTTTCTTTTTTTTTTGAGACAGGGTCTTGCTGTATATATGTAACCCAGGCTGGCTTTGAACTTGTAGTGATCCTCCTGCCTCAGCCTCCTGAATGCTGAGATTACAGGTGTGGGCCTCCATGCCTGGCCCTAAAGGCATAAATTTTTAGAAGGATATTTAGTAACTGTTTTGAGATTGCTTTGTAGAAGGAAAGTAAAAGCCAAGTGGGGTTATTAGAGGGGATAGTGGATGTGGATAACCTGACCTGTAGCTGGGACTCAGTATTATGAAGCCATTTAGATGTGATTCTAAGGGCTTGGGGCCAGTTTATGGTCCTCAATGCTAGAAATGGGTCACTAAGATTGCTGGGTAATTGAAGGCTCTCATGCAGAGACCAGAAAACATTTGACCTCATGCTTAAAGGTTTTGGAGTTCTGTTAATTAGTCTGTTGTTAATTGTTGATTAACTTTAGGATCCAGCCTCCAGGGTGCCTTCTCTGGCCTCCGTGCCAGCAGTTGTGCCAGTTCTGCAGATTTAGACCTGCTGCTGTGTAAAGTCCCTGTTGTGTGTGCGTGTGACAAGCACACCTCAGTTTGGAGTGCTGCAGCTTTGGAGCTGGGTAAAACCATGGTAGGAAGCATTGCCTGCTGGCACCATCACCAGTATTCATTTTGCTTTGACTGATGCCAGCAGAAGAAGACATGGCCAATAGGCACTCAGGTTAATTGGGAAGATAACACAGATTAGCTTAAGGGCTGCAAAATAATTTTCTTGGTCTTTTTTTCTCCCCCAGTATTGGTGATTGAACTTGGTGCCTTGTATATGCTAGGCAAGTGCTCTCTCACTGGGCTATATTCCCAGCCCTTTCCTGGATGCTTTTGTGTGTGTGTGTGTGTGTGTGTGTGTGTGTGTGTGCGCGCGCCAGGGATCAAACTCAGGACCTTGCGCTTGTGAGGCAGTTGCCAGAACCACTGAGCTAAATCTCTGGCCCCTAGGTTCTTTTTTTTTTTGGAGACAGGGTCTCAACTCATTATGTATATGTAGTTCAGGCTGGCCTTGGACTCATTACATAACCCAGACTGGCCTTGAACTTGCCACAATCCTGCCTCAGCCTCCCGAGTGCTGGGATTACAGGTGTGCCACCACCACGCCTGGCTGTCATCCAGGTTATTTATTATCTGGTGGTTTCAGGAAACCAGGACAGAAAGCAGTATTCTGTAGTTCATACACATACTTGATGTTAGTGACTGCTGTATCTGGATGTTACACTTTCATTGTTAGATGATAGTGCTGTTGAGGAAATGTGGCACCTAAACAGTGACGGAGTAATGTGTGATAGTGTAACTGGAGTCCAGCGAGCCAGTGCTCTACCGCTGAGTCACATCCCCCTGCCCCAGGGCTTCTTCCTGTTCAGAGCAAGGACAGCATTTCGGTCTTCCTCCTGGGTGTAGGTCCCTAGTAGTAATGAATGACTTAGTAGCTGTTGTTCAGGTCACAGGCTGAGTCACCTGGCCACTAGGGGTTAAGTTTGGGGAATTTGTTTGTGGTACTAGAGAAGAGTATGGGCTTCAGTGTCATGCAGATGTGGTTTCAGTCTCAGTTCTCTCTTTTTTTGGGGGGGGGGGTGGTAGTAGAGATTGAACCCAGCACCTGGGCACTAAACTACATCCCCAACCCTATTTATTTATTTATTTAGAGGCAGATCCTCCACAAATTTGCCCGGGCTGGGTTTGAACTTCCAGTCCTCCTTCCTCAACATCCCAGAGTGCTGAAATCACAGGTGCGCACCACCATCTCTGGTTTTTGTTCTCTTCTTCATAGCCGTAACCTTTGTACATATCTGTGCCCAGTTCATAAAGTGGGACAAATAATGCCTGAAGTGATTTTGAGACTTTAATGGCAGGATATGAGAGTTAAGTGGAGACTGAGAACTCAGCTTGATGCCAGGGACGTAGCTCAGTGGTTTTGCCACCTGCTGCACAAGCGCAAGGACCCGAGTTCAATCCACGGTAGCCGCCCCCCCCCCCAAAAAAGGAGAACCCAGCTTGATACTAGTGTGGTAGAAGCTCACTCAGTGGTAGGTGACTGCCTTTTTTTTTTGGTACCAGAGATCGAACTCAGGACCTTGCACTTGCGAGGCAGCGGAACCACTGAGCTAATTCCCCGGCCCCGCTGACTGCCATTTTAATCTGGCTTTCCATATATGTCCACCCGAAAAGCATTCAGTCAGTGGTCTTGCAGATAAGCCCTTTCTTGGCTTTTTGTTTTGTTCCAGTTGTGGTAGTGCTGGGGTTGGAACCCAGGGCCTCCTTGCATGCTAGGCAAGTGCTCTACCACTGAGCTGCATACATTCTCAGCTCCTACAATCATTCTGATTCTCCTGAGTTTGACTCGTTGTAAGTAATCTTTTTTCTCATGCATACACTTACGTGGCATGTCTCCGCCCCTGGAACTGATTTTTCTGTAAGTGTGCTGATGCATTTCTGAACTGGGAAGTTACAGGTGAGGGGAATTGATTTTGGTGGCTTTCACAGTGTTGCTGGTGTCTTGTACAGCCTGTTTCCCGGGCATTTCTCTAGGCATGCCTCTCCCTGCTCGGTGTACACTGCATCCCGTGACTTTTGCCACTTGTGATTTATGACTGTTTTTCCCTGCATTCCCACAGGTTCTAATACGACTCTTAGTTATATTGCCAAAAATCTGTGTTAGTGCGGGTGTATTTTTACCCTGAGATATGTGCTTACATAAGAGTGTGAATGGGATGCTCGAGTGATGATGGGAGGCTGTTGATGTCTTAACTCTGCAAGTTGAAGGTGAGAACTTAGAATACTTTTTCTAGTCTTGTGTAAAACTTGTGAAGTATAATTGGACCTGCAGGTTCTACAAATCAATTTTCTGCTCATCCCCAGAATGATTCTGTTTTTGAAGGTTGGTCCTTTTGCTCATGTCAACACAAATTCTGCAAGCAGGTATGACAGAATCCCTTGTCTTTCCAGTTTGGATGCTGTATTTTGTTTTGGTGTCAGGTAACCTTACTCAGGGAGCTCTGAGGACAGGTCAGGGAACATCGTGGCGTAATAGCTGCCATGATTATGTAGCCCCCACTGCTTGCCTGACAAACAAGAACTGTGAGGCCTGACCCAGCTGAGTGGCAGCCCCACTCCATTAATTATTGGCAGGGTTGGGACAGGGCTCCCATTCCTCAGTTTGCATGTGGCCCAGTGTCAAGCAAATCTTTAGGAGGAAAACCTTTCATAGGCCTTTCAGTGCCTCAGTGGAGTAAATGGTAATTAGGGCAAGTTTTATCTTCATTTATGGTAAAATTGTATGCTTGTGTGTGTTGTATTCTTGCCCTTTCACAACACATTGTTATTTTTGTGCTCACAGGTTTGCTTCAGTGTTTGGCCACACATTATAAAAATATTTATTAGTAGTATATCCCTGAACTTTTTTTTCCATTTATGCTTAATTGTTCTTTTCTGAATTTCTTTCACTTATTTTCCCCTCATAAACATAAGAGATAAAACGTTGGGATTAGTGAAAGAGAATGAGAAGGTGGGAAAGTTGGTATTTGGAAACCATTTAAACCTGCCAATGTACAAGCTCACTTAAAAGTGAACATGTTATTTAATAGTAGTTAGTGTACTCAGAATAACTTGCCTCCTAGCTCAGAATTAAATCTAAAATTATATCTACTATTTCTGTAAAATTTTTATATATATCCTTTTATTGCCACATTTTAGGTGTACAATATAATGACATTTATCATTGGAGATATGCACCTATTTCTGTAAATTCCTTCACCCTTTTGGGGGGTTTTTGTGTGTTTGTTTGTTTTAGTTTTTTTTTTTTTTTGGTACCCAGGGATCGAACTCAGGTCCTTGCGCTTGCACAGCAGGCGGCACCACTGAGCTAAATCTCCAGCCCTTTGTTTTTATTTTTTTGAGGCAGGGTCTTGCTCTATAGTGCAGGCTGTTCTTGAACTTAGCAATATCCCTTCTTTAGCCTCCTGAGTGGCTGGAATTACAGGTGTACACCACCACATCTACCCCATTCATCCTTGACTCAAGTATGTGAGCATCAATATTTAACAGGCCCTGTCCTAAGCATTTGTGTTATGGTAAATGAAAGAAGGTCATTGTTCCCAAGTAGCTTCCATGTTAGTAGAATAGAAAGACAATAAACAAGCAAATATAGTGTGTATTAAGTGAGGGTACTTGTTTTCTTCTTTTTTGAGATTGGGTCTTGCTAGGTAGCCCAAGCTGTCCTCGAACTCCTGGCAGTTTTCCTGCCCTAGCCCCCCCAAATGCTGGAATTACAGGCAAGCACCACCACACCCTGCTCTGCATTTATTTTTTGCAGTGCTACGGGTCAAACTTAGAGCCTCAGACATTCTAGTTAAGTGCTCTACCATGAGCTATATCCCCAGCCCATGGTGAGGGTAAATTTTTTTTTTTGGTACTGGGGATCGAACTCAGGTCCTTGGCTTGCAAGGCAGGCAGTGGAACCACTGAGCTAAATCCCTGGCCCTAGGATAAATTTTAAATAGGCTATGAGGTAAAGGTTCTGAAGAGATCTAAAGAGACCTAAAAAAAAAAAGAGAGAGATAGGAGACAGGATATTACTCAGATAAAAGTAACAAGTGAAAGAGTCCTGAGGGGAGTTGATTTCTTCTTTATTGAGGAACAGCTATCATGGCAAGACAAGAGGTCATAGGGAGCCAGGGGTCAAATTGCTTGGGCCTGGTAGGGCATAAGAAGGAGTTGGCATTCCCTTCTAGTATGATGGGGGTCTAGTGGAGTGTGAAGAATAAGTGGCATTATCTGATGAGGTGGGAAACTGTCATCCTACTTTGTATCATGTTACTCTCAGTGCTTTATGCTATTACATCTTTTCTTGTTGTAGCTTGTCTATGCTGAAAGACCTCTCACAGACAACCACAGATCACTGGCTTCTTATGGCTTGAAAGATGGGGACGTGGTGATCTTACGACAGAAGGAGAATGCAGACCCTCGACCTGCAGTGCAGTTTCCAAGTAAGACATAACCTAACGTTTAGCAGCCCCAGCACAAACCCCATAGGTAGCAGAGTGTATGGTTCTGAGTTTTAGATTGGTTTGGGGTTCAGAGCACCAGGACACAGAACCTGCCTCAGCCTCTGCCTGCTGTGGAACCTTTGGCAAGTTATTTGACTTCTCTAAATCTTTTCCTCTTCCATAAGATAGGTGTCAGATCCTAGAGCTGAAGTGGAAATAATAGACGTGAAACTTCCAGTACATAGCTGCCCTCAGTAAATGATAGCCTTTGTTGTTATCAGTGATGATTATATAATCTTTATCCCAGGGAAGGACTCGAGACTGCATAAGCCTGTGATTTCTATCAGCAGCCTGCCATTGGGGAGCATTGTTAGTAAGCCAGACACTTGTACCCACATTTCACGTGATTTGATAACTTGGTTGTGGGGGAAGAGATCCCACCTTACAGTTATTTTTTCATTAACAGATGAAGTTCAGATTTTAAATGATCGTCAGAGTTACACAGCTGTAGTCCCAGCACTTGAGAAGCTGAGGCAGGAGGATCATGAGTTCAAGGCCACCCTGGACTACACTGTTCGATTCTGTCTTTAAAAAGAAAAGAAAAAGTTACACAGCTAGTAAGTGAAGGCACAAGAATTAGAATTTGATCCATTTTTCATTACAACAAACTAAATCTTAAGCAGCTGGACCAACTAGGTCTGGTTCTTCCCTACCAGCTGTTAATTGTGTAAAATGAATCTTACTTAACTTGGATGCTCCATCCAGAGTAGGTGTTTATAGTCAGGAGTCTGCATTTGGATTTAAGAGGTTTCTGTGTTCCTGAAGTAATTTGTAGAATGGTGTGGATGTGTAAGTGCATTTGATGGTGAGAGGATCCATAGCTTTCTTTAGGTGCTCAGATTCACAGGCTACAAAAAGTTTATGAGATCTTGATGTGGAAAAACTTGATGAAATGTATTAGTTTTTACTGCTGCATCCCATATTCTGGTAGAATTATAGTTATTTTCTTTTGTAGTACTAGGGGTTGAACCCAGGGCCTCATGCATGTTATATAAGCACTCTGCCATTGAGCACATCTCTGCCCTTTAAAAAAATTTTTTTTTAAATTTTGAGACAAGATTTTGCTAAGCTTCCCAGACTGACCTCAAGGTTGCAACCCTCCTGCCTCAGCCTCCAGACTAGCTGTGTACCACAGTGCTCAGCCTGTAGTCTTCTCTCTAGGTCATCTGTTTTAAAGTTTATGGTAACAAATGATAGGTGTCTGGGGTGATAACCAACTTAAGCTTGAAGCACAGTGCTTCCATTGAGTCTGAAACTGGAGCAATATAAGACATCAGGCCCTGGCTCCCTCAGATCTGGATTGCATTGGTCCCTGAGGCAACTGCTGAATTTCAGGAAGAGCAATGGTTCAAATATGCCAGTCAGTAAAAAGCAAGTCTTCCTTTGGTTAGTTTGGTGACGTTGTTAGTACTAGAAAGTCGTTGCTTTTTTCCTGTGCTGTCCCTATGTGGACAAGGCAACCTATCAGTTGTCAGGAAGGTTCTGGTTTATAAAGTAAAAACGTGTTCAAAATTATTCTGAAGTGAGTGGACTCTGAAGATGCTGTGTCTTGGCGTGGAGATTAGATTTGACTTGCAGGGAAGGCGCCACCCATGTGTGTTTGGTAGCTGATAGATGAAGGACCTTGTGGAGGGTGCCGTCACCTCACCCTCTTGCCATCTGGGTGCTGTCTAGTCCGTCCCCCCCCCCTCTGCAGGTACACACTGGCTGCCAGCTGCAGTCGGCATAAACACATGGCTGGTTGAGCCCACGCTGTAAGTTGTAAGGCCGAAACCTTGCAGCTGAGTTTGAGCATTCCCTTTTTGTATCTGAGGTCCAAAGGCCTCTGAATGGTCCCAGACTTGGGACAGGTTTGATTATTAATTATATTTTGGGGGGTTGGAAAAATGTGTAATTTACTCAGATGTGTCCCCTTACCGTGGCTCTACTTGTTTATTTTTCTTTCTGTAACAGCTTTATTTTTTCTAACAGCTTTATTGAGGTATAATTCACATACCATACTACTTACCATTTTAAGGGTGTAATTCAGTGGTTTTTAGTATATTCAGAGTTGTCCAACCATCATCACGATTAATTTTAGTTCATTTTCATTACCATTGCTCATTAGCACTCCTTCCCTGTTACCCTCTAAGTTCAAGTCTGCGCTCTCTCTGTGTATTTTCCTGTGTGGGCATCCCACAAAGATGGAGCCATGCAGTGTGTTAGTCCTTGAAAGGGGGATTAGTACTCCCATACTTTGCTTTCTGTGTTTAATAAGGTCGGCTCAGCCTAGAATGTAGAACCTGGCTGGGAGTTATTGACTCTAAATCTGTGATGGCTGCTGGTGCACTCAAGACAGAGCCTGTGCCAGTCCTTTTTCTTGGTTTTTCTCTCCTGTAAAATAGTTATACCTCCTAACTCCCTGGGCCTTAAAAAAAATTAGCCTCTGGTACATGGCTAAAAGTATAAATTCAAAGAGCTATTAAGAACTCCCCAGGGCGTGGCGGCACACACCTGTAATCCCAGCATTCAGGAGGCTGAGGCAGGAGAACTGCCTCGAGTTCACAGCCAGCATGGACTACAGAGTGAGTTCAAGGCCAACTGAACTACATAGCAAGACCCTGTCTAAAACAAAACCAAGAAAACCCTCCCCAAACTGATGTGTGTAGCACAGACTTGCAGGATTTAACACCCAGTGTTTGTGTTCACTTGATATGGGTAGTACTCTTTACCCCAAGAGTCAACGCTCTTTGAAGCATATATCAAATCAGACTAGGATTTTGGGGGGTTTTTTGGGTACTGGGGATCAAACTCAGGTCCTTGCACTTGCACGGCAGGCGGTGAAACCACTGAGCTAAATCCCCGGCCCAAGACTAGGATTTTTCCAAGAGCACCATCCATAATTATGTGATTTCGTGTGTTAAAAATGCCTTTAATATCTGCTCTGGGTTATTCTATAAGCCCAGATGTCTTAGTCACTTTCCTGTCACTGAGACGAATACCAACACCCACAACTTACAGGAGAGGTTTATTTTGACTCACAGTCACAGTGCAGCGCAGAAGCAGCAGGTGGAAGGGCTGGCAGAGCAAAGCTGCTCCTGGCGGCGGGCAAACAGAGAGAGAAGAGGAGCCTGGTTGGGGGGAGATACACGTTTCCAGGCCATGCCCCTAGTCACCTGCCTCTCCCAGCCAGGCCCCACTTGCTAAGGGAAATCAGTTGTAGCACCCCATGTCCAGTCCTCTTAAGCCCTGCCTGTGAGCCTGTGAGTGCTTGAGGCCTTTGAGGAACGTGCTTGATAAAAACCGTAGCACATAAAATTTGGGGTTCTATAATTGCCTGTCACATCTTTCTTTCCTATCTGTGACCTCACAGATTGCCATCTTTCTATTCAAAGTCTTCCTGAGGGGAAAGGCATTGGGTGTTCTAAGGTTGCCATTTGCTACTGTTACATACCATCTATGAGCAAGTGTTCTGTTTCTTCAGCACCTGTTTTCATGGAGTCATCTAAGTAAACTTGATTGATACCCCCACACAGACTTACCCCGGATAGACTTCAGCAGCATAGCTGTGCCTGGCACGTCCAGTCCCTGCCAGCGCCAGGCAGCAGGCGCACAGCAGCCCCACTCATCTCCTGGAGAAATAGCATCCTCTCCTCAGGGCTTGGACAACCCAGCCCTGCTCCGAGACATGCTGCTGGCCAACCCACATGAGCTGTCCTTGCTGAAGGAGCGCAACCCACCCCTGGCAGAAGCCCTGCTCAGTGGAGATCTTGGTAAGCTTATACATTTGGGAGGCTGTCAGGCACTCTGGGGTGAAGTGGCTGTGTCACACCGAATACAGACACTCCAGCTTGTGGCACATTCAGAACACTGTCTCGTGATTTGTCGAACACATCTGTTATGTGTCTGTGAGAGGTAATCAGCGTACACGTCAAAGGCTGGGGTAACTGGCAACAGTGATAGGATTCTAGAACTCAAACCTATCTAGACAGGCCCCTTTTGTTTACTTTTTTTCTCATTATTTTTAGCAGCATATGAGCCAGGTTTTGATATTTTGACCTGTTCACTTAGATCAGTAATGGCAAACCCTATGGCACATGTGCCACAGTAGGCTGTTATCCTTGAAAGCTCTAAAAGATTTGCCATTACTGACGTAGATCCTCATTTAAAGCCCACTAGCATGCCTGCTGATCCCAGGTGGTTCCAGAGTACATCTGCAGCGCCATCAGCCTGTGTGGCCAACTGGAAGCCCATGTGGGTAGAAGTACCCTAAGTTTAGGTGGCAACAAGGTTGCTGGCAGCAGTTTGTTTGGAGCTGTATTGGAATCTGTTTGTCTGTCTGTCTCTCTCTGTCTCTTTGTCTGTCTCTCTCATTAGCAGGGATTGAACTTGGGACCTTATGCTTTCCAACAGGTGTGGTGCCACTGAGCTACATCTCTGGCCCCCTACAGTCATTCTTTTATTAAAAAGATTGTTTACTTTTAGCTTTCTGTAGTTAAAAGGCTTTCTGTACATTTCTTCCATTTCGCTCTTGGCATTATGAAGCTGTGCAGCTTAATTTTTTTTTTTTTTTTTGTACCAGGGATCGAACTGAAGTCCTTAAGCTTGCAGGGCAGGTGGTGGAACCACTGAGCTAAATCCCCGGCCCATGTGCAGCTTAAATTTTTAAACCATACAGACACTTAACTCTTTCTCCAGTTGACTTTTTCCCACCTCTGGCACTAGGAATGGAACCCAGGGCCTTATACCTGCCAGGCAGCCATTCTTCCACTGAGTTGCATTCCAAGCCCTTTTTTATTTTCTTTTATTTTCATTTTTAAGACAAGGTCTCACTAAATTCCCCAGGCCACCCTTGAACTTGGCAGTCTTTCTGCCTCAGCCTTCCAAATAACAATGATTATAGGCATGTGCCGCCATGCCCAGCATTTGACTGTTGTTCCCTATACTTACAGAGAAGTACACAGATTTTAAGTATTCAATTCATTGAGTTTTGACAAACTCTTGTAACCCCAATCAAGATGTAGATCATGTTTTCTCATCCCAGAAGGTCCCCTTGTGTTTTCTTCCACTCCGTCTCCTGCCGCATAGGCTGCCGCTGTTCTGATGATCAGTGTAGATTGGTTTTGCGTGTTTTTTAACTTGAAGTATGGAATCATAGAGTCTGTATTCTTTGGTCAGGCTGTTTTCACTCCATTTTTAGGTCTACGCATTTACTTGTTATCTTGGGTTGAAATGACTTTTATCTTGCTTTATTTTCTTATGTCAGCATATGTAATGGCCACAGAGCATGGTGGCGGCATCTTTAAGTTTATGCATTTAAATGTGCCACCATTTAAGGAAAGTAGACTTTTTGGCATATACATCATAGACTATTTTCTCTTTGCTAATTTTCCTATTTTCCACCAGAACACACGAAGTATTATTAGATTAACAATGATTTACACTTACTTCATCTGGTTTAAGGCAGAGAGTGTTATAAAAGAAACGAAGCTACAATAAAAAGAGGATTACATAGTACTGTTTTGTTCCTAGCTAATAAGATAATGGGGACAGTGGGGAGGGGGGAAGTGGAGACCTTTATCTGGCCCACAAATAGATGTTCCTCGCTGATTTAAACTGGAATGTTGTTATCTGAGTGGAAATAATACAATGGGCAACTTCTTATAAGAATAAAAGAGTTTTACGAATAAAGTTTCTTTGTACTGAACTTAAATCAAGAAATAGTATTGCCTTTCAATACTATTGAAATGGGAATGGGATATAAGTATTTGTTTTAAACAATTTTTAAGCTTTCTTGCCTCATCTTTTATGGCTATATTTGGGAAATTCTTGGTGTGGAACAGAACTGAGAGTGAAAATACCTAGGCATGGTGAGGCATGCACATAATCGCAGCACTTAGGAGGCTGAGGCAGGATCACTGCAAGTTGAAGACCAGCCTGAATCACATAGTGGGACTGTGTATCAAAAGAAAGAAAGAAAAAGAAAATAGAGTGGAGTTGAAGATTTTCCTCCCTTATTTTATAGAGAGATTTTCCAGAGTCCTGGTAGAGCAGCAGCAGGACCGAGCCCGGAGAGAGCAAGAAAGGATCCGTCTCTTTTCTGCTGACCCCTTTGATCTTGAAGCTCAGGCAAAGATAGAAGAGGATATCAGGTAATGATCCATTCACCTAAAGATCAAGCCTGAGAACATCCAGGTTTCCCAAAGTGCAGGTCATGTGGCATTAGATAGACACCTGTGTGTAGGTGTTGTCCCTGTTTCAGAGTTGAGGTAATAACCTCAGTCTTTAGCTAATTCTCTTGTCTTCCATTTTCCACACATTTTGACCCAGCGTGCAAGGGTACAGATGCCTGGCTTAATGAATTTCTTTTCTTGTAAAACTTTCTGAAGATTCCCAACTAGCAGAGCATCATTAAAGCAGCTCCAAGTAGAGGACCCTGGGACTGAGCCGAAGCCCCATCTGGTGAGATGCTAGGCTGGTTATCTTTTTGGACTTGTTGTAGGAGTCTTGGTTAAATCCAGGGCTTGATGATGATTGGATTACAGAGACAGCTGCACAGTTAGAGCCTTGTAGGCCCAAGCCTGTCTTCCTCCTTCTGTTCTGTAATGTAGTGGTCCTTAACTGCCACTGCTTTGAAGCTATGAGAAGCTTTTTAAATTGCAGACACTTGGGCCCTGCACCCAATCTGGTGAATCAGAATCTTCACCTAAGCAAGGATAACAGTGTTACTGCCTGCCATGGCCCAGTCAGTCACAAACCAGATGCTGTTCAAATAAAAGGACAGTTACTCCCCTCTCTCCTGTTTAGTTTTTGTTGCTAATTGTGAACGTCTTAGTTTAAGAAAAAGGTGTCTGGGCATGGTGGTGCATGCCTATAATCCCAGCAGTTGGGAGGCTGAGGCAGGAGGATCACTGAGAGTTCAAGGCCAGCCTGGGTTACATAGTGAGTTCAAGACCTCAAGGTCAGCCTGAACTACATAGTGAGACCCTAGCAAGACCCTATCTCCAAAAAAAAGAACAAAGACAATACTCCCTTTAAAGTGAATTAAGATAAGGGCTTTTAGGGGCTTGTCATCATCTTTGGTTACTTAACTGAAGCCTGACTCGGTCATACTACACTATTACCTTGGAAGTTAAATAGTTGTTTTTTCTTAATTCTCAGGCTACATTTGAAATCAAAGAAATGTAAATTGTGTGCCAGAATAAGTCAACAACCCTCATTTTCTTGTTGATTAAGTGGTCCCATTAATGGTATCAGATATTGATGAGTATCTGAGAAACATCTCACTAGTTAGATCTACACAGAGAAATAGGAAAATATTTGTGTTCTTCCTGCTAGACCGTGTTGCAGCTTGAAGGGAGAACTGACCTAAGTTTCAAGAGTAATTGTTTTCAGAGCCAGGCATAGTGGCGCCTGCCTATAATCCTAACACGGGAAGCTGAGGCAGAAAGACCAGTCTTTACGACATAGTATGAGACCCTGTCTACAAACAAACAAGTTGTGCTCAACCCAGGCAGCAGTAGAGGTGGGAAGGTCTCATAACAGATTGTAACACTGAGCTGCTGGAAAACTAGAATCAAAATGGAGCGCATCCAGGTGACTCCTGTTTCTTCTTGGGAGGTGGGGTGAAGGAAACTTAGTAATACGTGCTTTTTTCCTGTTCTGAGGATGGAGCCAGTCTCTCATGCATACCAGGCAAGCTCTCTCTCTTTTTTCTTTTTTGTTTTTTTTTCCAGTAACGGGGATTGAACTCAGGACCTTGTGCTTGCAGGGCAGGTGTGGGTCCACTGAGCTAAATCCCCAGTCCCAGGCAAGCTCTCTTCCACTGAGCAGCACTCCAGCCCATGCTTATAAAGGAGAAAGTTTAGCCAGACGTTGTGGCACACACCCACAGTCCCAACGCGCGGGATTACAGGGATGAGGCTGAGGCAGGGTTACAAATTAAGTCCCACCTGCACAGTTTAGTAAGACCCTGTCTCAAAATAGAAATATAAGGTAGAGGAGAAACTTTATGTCTCTGAAGAGATACACAGCCCAGAATAGCCAAAGTAACTGATGTTATCTGAGAGGAATTTTTTTTTTTCTTTTTGAGTTGCAAAATTTGGGTTGCAGTCAATGCCAGATTAGGGTACACAATTAATTTTAGAATATATCTCAGTTTAATAATGTGCAGTGGAATAAAAGATGTGTAACTATCAGTTGCCTATTGAGGTTTTATGTGGCATGGCACACCAGCGATTATGCAGGACGTGTGTACACTGAAGTATAACAGTTTTCCTGTTTGCCCAACTAAATTAAACAAGGGTGCCTTTTACCTTTTGGAAAGTTTAATATTTTATTACAGAACAGCTGATTAAGCCATCAGTTCAATTGAGCTTGAGTATTACAAAAAGGACAGGCATATAGTTTAGAGCAAGGATCAGTGGACATTTTAAAGGGCCAGAGAGTAAATATTTCAGGCTTCGTAAGCCACACGAGCTCTGTTGCTCGCCTTCACCTCTGCCACTGCCATGTGAAAGCCGCCGTATACAGTTGGCTGGTGTGAGTGCATGGTGTTGCTATGTTCCCATAATATCCATTTATACAAACAGATGTTGGGCTCCCTGGTTCACACTGTGGTTTGCCTCACATCTTGGACCCTGTTCTGTTACCGTCTCATTTGTCAGGTAAGTTGTCCAGCCACTGACCTGGTTTTCATGAAGATGGCAGCACTTGGCAATATTTTTACAAGGCCATTTGGAATGAAGATGTGAAATGGTGGAGTAAGCTACAGCTGTTTGCTATGCTAGTTTACTCATGTGAGAGTTACATTACATTTTTAAAGAAAGGATTTGATGGGTCCAGTGCACTATGACTCATGTGTGCTTTTAAATGTCAGAGATGCACATTTTTGGCAGCCTGAGGGATGGAACCCAGGGCTTCATGCATGTAGGCAAGCTCTCTGCCCCTGAGCTACATCCAGACCCTTTTATTTTTTTGTTTCGAGATGAGATTTCACTAACTTGCCCAGACTGGCTTTAAACTTGTGGCCCCTTCCTTTCTTTCCCCAGGAGCTGGGATGATAGACCTGTGCCCAGCTGGTGCATTTTTGGAGCCTCTTCTCTTATGTTGCCTTGCATGCTGTGTACCTTCTAGCACCCTCTGCTGGGAGTGTATTACCCTATTTTACACATTGGAAAACCTGTTCATGAAGAGGAAGCAGATGGTGCAGTGGCAGCATGAAAATACCTATATATCTTCTTTCCAGAGTTTTTAATGGACTGGGCATAGGAAATGTTTTTCAATACCCAGTAAATCCTCAGTTAAAATTGAAGCATTCATGAAACTCTTAACATTCTACAGGATAAAAACAGCTATGATCATGCACTGTAGTTTATTTTCCTATTTCTGAGTTTATGAAGGGACTTTAATTGTCTTAAATGAGGATAATTCTTAGGCCTTTAGATTTTTCTATTAACTGTGATCTCACCACTTCCTACTAAGTCACCTGTTGGCGGGACAGAACACTTAATTTCCATCCCATGACTCAGTTGCTCTAGTTAGGGCAAAAGATGTACAAATCTGTTTTTAATATTGTGAGATCACAACAGATTGGTCTTCCTGGAAATAGTGCTTTTAGTGCACCTGGTTTTGTTTTGTTACAGGCAACAAAACATTGAGGAAAACATGACAATAGCTATGGAAGAGGCTCCTGAAAGCTTTGGCCAAGTGGTGATGCTTTATATTAACTGCAAAGTGAATGGACATCCTGTGAAAGCCTTTGTTGACTCAGGTGATGTTTCCATCTTTTGTGTTACTTCCCCCTTCTTGACATTCTGCTCTGCCACAAGAAAAGAGACACAATACCTAACACCCAAAACTTAAAGGGGGAAAGATTTATTTTGGCTCATGTTTGTAGAGGTTTCAGTCCATAGTCATCTGGCTCCAAGGCAGGGTGGCATGGCAGAGGAGAAAGAGCTCATGGCATGGTGTGGACAGCAGAGTGACCAAGAGAGGGAAATAATAGGGCTGGGTCTTCAGCTCAGTGGCATCGCGCCTGCCTTGCAGGCGCAAGGTCCTAAGTTTAATCCCTGGTACAAAAAAAAAAAAAGGGAAATAACACCTTTCCAGGCCATGCCTCCATGACCCGCCTCCAATGACCCACCTCCAACCAAGCTTCACCTCCCAACACATTAAACTCATCCGTGGACTAATCCATAGTATCATGCCCCTGTGATCCAGTCACTCCCTAGAGCCCCAGTTATGAGTTTAGGAGACTTTGAGGGGACATTTAGATATACAGACTGTAACAGGGTCACTCTGGATGTGTGTAGTCCTTTGAAGTGCTAGTAACAAGTCTGGGAGTTACTGTTCACTTGTCAGTCTTCTTGCTGGTAATACATTTATCTTACATCATATCTTTAGCAATTCCGCATTTGGCAGTGTCTCTTTTGTCTTCCTAAGGTTTTCCCTTATTTATTACCCTGAATTTCTGAGGTGCTTCTGTAAGAAATTGGCACCAATAGATATAGAATAAGGAGCTTAGGAAGGAGCTATGTAGGCTGTAGGTCAAACATTTCAGGCTGGTCTGTGGGCCAGCAGTTTGCTGTTAGGAGTGTAAGAATGAATGGAGCACCGTTCCTGCACTTAAAATTAACAGCCAGGTAAGAAGACAGGGAGAGTCCCACTTCACTTGCAGGCTCAATGTACTAACTGGCACCCTTTCTCTTAGTAAGAACTCTGCTTTTTAGTAAGAGCACTGTGAACACCTCATGGCTATGTGGCTGAGTGGCCTTGTGCATCTTAATTTTGTGTATCTCACTTGACTGTAAGATGGGTGACTTCCTGGAGTAGAAAATTTAGCTCAAATGTCTTCATGAGTTATCCACAGCTACTTGAGCATGTGCTCAGTTTCAACTTTTTTTTTTTTTTTTTGCTTTTTGAGACAAGGTCTTGCTATGTAGTTCAGGCAGGTCTCAAACTTACTATGTAGGCCGGGCCGGCTTTGAACTAAATGGGCGACCCTCCTGTCTCTCAGCCTCCTGAGTGCTGGGATCACAGGTTTCAACACTTGTTAGGAGTTTGTATCTTCAGATGCAGATATGTTCTTAGGAGAAGTAAATCTTTTTCTGGTGCCGGGGAAGGAACTCAGGACCGTATGTTTGCCAGGCAGGTGCTGTACCACTGAGCTGCATCCCCGGCCCAGGAAAAGTAAATCTTGTTAATTGAGTTTCAAAGATGTCTGTTGAATGCTGTTTGCAGTGCCTTGTGCTGAGTTTGGTGGTAAGACTTACTAGCTGCAGTTCAGAGTACACTGAGAGAGACAGATACCTGAGGCCGTAACCTATCCCTCAACCCCAACTGTGTGCTGAGTCGTCTTAGTCCATTTTATTTCATCCTGTGAGCTGTGTTCTACTGATCCTATTTTGCAGACAAGTAAACTTACTAAATGTAGGGAGGTGAAGTCCCTCTCCCAGGTACAGAGTGTGAGTGGTGCTTGGTCCCAGAACTCTTCACCGCTGTGTAAGACTCTTGAGTGTCGGGAGGACACAGAGACCCCATTCTCACTCTGGCTGGTGTGCACAGGAGCAGATTCCCAAAGAATGCCCCTTTGGTTTGAGCTGGAGCTAAGGTTTAACAAGAGAAAGCGGCCCCTTTCATCCTGGCTCTCTCTAGTTACACAAGTAACTGGCTTTGTGAAATGAGGTGGGGAGACAGGGAGGAATGAGATCGCTTTCCCAAATTGCCTGTTCTTCAATTATTTCTGGTCCCTCTTGAATTTCACTTACTTAGCTCAAATGCCAGGAGCTTTCAGCCCCATAATGTCTAGGGTACCCAAGGTGTCAGATGAACAGGGTTTACTGGAGTTGCTGGAGGGAAGCTCACTGAGGGAGGTTGTCTTGAGCTGGGCTGAAGCACAGGTGAAATTCAGAGAGAACAGTGCAGGGGGCCTCTTTGTAGGCCAGGGTGTGTAAAGGCAGAGGAGCCGAGCGCCTGCCCTTGCAGACAGGCTAGAGTGGGGACGGGACGGTAAGGTCAGAAATCAGCAGCAAGGGCAAGAGGAGCAGGACCTAAGCCTGTGGCTATGTGGCTTGAGAGACACAGAGGGGAAACCAACGAGGACTGTGGAGCAGATGATATGCTCAGTTAAGAGAAAGTTGTGAGGACAGCTGAAGGCAGAGACCCCTGGAGAACTGTGTACCCCTGAGGTAACTATGTCCTTGCTGTAAATCACACATCCAGAGTGGTTTGGAAGCCGGAGATGTTGTCCACTTGCAAGTGGAGAGGGTGTGAGGGAGGAGGATAGCTATGGTTAGAAGAGGGAAGGTCAGAAATTGCACAGAACTTATTTATAGGATCAGGGCGGCATTTGAGAGCAGAGAGAGGGAGGAGGCATCAACAGCAAACCATGCCAGGTTTTAGGACTGCAAGAAAGTAATTCCAGTGCAAAGATCGAGAAATCCAAAGTGAGAACTATGCGGGTGGGGAGGGTTATACCTTTTGGTTCTGGGTGGAAATGTCTGGCACACCAGGAGCACGAAGCTAGTGTTAAGAGAGAGGTTTGGGTTGCAGGTAAAGATTAGTGACCTGTCTGTCTTCCATTTGTGCTGACTTAGCTGAGGATGTGGACCTTAGGGTGGGAGGGACACCTTAAATGCCTTCAATCCTAAAGGCAGAAGGCCTGGTTGTTGCTGGCACAGAGTAAGGAGTGCATGTCGAATTTCTCAGGACACTACAGGATCTTTGGACAGGAGGAATTGTGTTGGGATTGAACCCAGAGCCTTGCTCGATGCTAGCTAAGAGCTGTACCACTGAACTATACCCCTGGCCCAAGAATTTTATTTATTTATTTTTTTGTACCGGGGATCAAACTGGGGTCCTTGTGCTTGCAAGGCAAGCAGCGGAACCACTGAGCTAAATCCCTGACCCCCAAGAATGTATTTTTTTTTCTTTTTTTTTTTTTTTTTTTTTTTGGTACCAGGGATCAAACTGGGGTCCTTGCACTTGCGCAGCAGGCGGTGAAACCACTGAGCTAAATCCCCGGCCCAAAGAATGTATTTTTCAACTGGTGAACTATGGTGTCCCAAAGTTCGAAATGAAAATAACTTGAGAAAATGCTTAGAGATATTCGGTGTGAACTTCTCTGACTGTAAAGTGCTGCTAAATTTAGCATTGTCATCTGTAGACATAGTGGTCATCATTTGAACTTGTAGGAGGGCCATTCCAGGTAGTTCTGTTTTCTGTTGATAAAAGTTTTTTTCTTTTGTGGGGGAGGTGGTGAGACAGGGTCTTGCTATGCATTTCAGGCTGGTTTTGAACTCATTTTGATCCTCCTGCCTCAGCCTCCTGAGTGCTAGGATTAAGCATGCTCCACTACCTAGATATTATTGCTAAAATTATAAAATACTATTTAATAGCCAGGCATGGTGGCACATGCCTGTAATTCCAGGAGGCTGAGGTAGGAGGATCATGAGTTTGAGACCAGCCTGGGCTACATATCAAGAACCCTTTCTCAAAAAAAAAAAAATTACATTGCAACAAAATGTTTGTTCCCTCAAAGGCAGATTTCCACATTATGTTTCATCTTCCAATGTAAAACTGAAGTTAAGGGGAGCAGGGTACCTGCTAGGTAAGAATGATGTTAGAAATAAAATCCTAGGGCTGGGGATTTAGCTCAGTGGTTTTGCCGCCTGCTGCGCAAGCAAGCGCAAGGACCCGAGTTTGATCCCCGGTACCAAAAAGAAAAAAGAAAGAAAGAAAAAAAGAAAATCCTGATCCAGGCATGGTGGTGCATGCCTGTAATCCCAATGCTCAGAAGGCTGAGACAGGAGGATTGCTTCAAATTCAAAGTCAGCCTGCATTGCATAATGAGACCCTGCCACATAAAGTAAATAAATAAAATAAGAACCTGGGGGTATACTTGTTTTCTCCCTTATTCTTAATTTTGAGTCTTACTACACATATGGATTTTGTTTTTATTATACGATGTTTCTCTCCCAGGTGCCCAGATGACTATCATGAGCCAGTCCTGTGCAGAAAGGTGTAATATAATGAGACTGGTGGACCGTCGGTGGGCAGGAATTGCCAAAGGAGTAGGCACCCAGAAGATTATTGGAAGGGTACACCTAGGTGAGTGGAAGGCAGTGCGAGTTGTAGAGTATTTGTAGGATGTTAGGTTTTAGAAGTTTTGAGGGTTTGTCCCTGTTTTTTGGCTTGTATTTAGCTGATTCAGCAAGCTTTTTTTGGAATACTGGGGATTGAACTCTGGACCTTGTGCTTGCAAGGCAGGCACTGGAACCACTGAGCTAAATCCCCGGCCCTGATTCAGCAAGTTTTAATCCTCAGAAATTTTAAATCCTCTGTTTCACTAAGTCTATACGTGGTATATGTTGTTACCAAAAAAGCTACCCACTTCTATTTCCTGCTCCTCAGAGATAATCCCTTCTTGTTATTTTTATTTCATTCAGTTACATATTTCAAAGTAACATTTATTTTGCTGTTTACTGATATGACTCCATAAATGCTTTTTGTTTGTTTGTTTGTTTGGGTTTTTTTGTTTGTGTTTGATATTGGGATTGAACTCAGGACCTTGTTGCTTGTGAGGCAGGAGTGGCACCACTGAGCTAAATCCCCGGCCCTCCATGATTGCTTTTGAGAGCTGAGCTGAGTACGATTGCTTTTGGGGGAGTCATTTTATTTGTTTTGTGCCTTTCAGGCTCACACACTTTGTCAGTTGTATAAACCTCCTTTAAATAGTCCAGGGCCTGTATGGTCTTCTCTACATTGCATCCTGTACTGGGCACTTCTTCTGAGCCTGGACTCGTGCTCCATGGCAGTTCACTTCCTCCTCTGTCCTATGTAATGTTACGTGAATCTCTATGTCTCATCCCTTCACTCACCACCGTCGTCTCCTTTTCTTTGGGGGGATGGGGGTCTTGCACCTTGGTGTGTTGGAAGAGTGGATCTTCTAGAAAATTCCTGAGAAAAGGTGTGAGGGGAGAAATGGAGGCCTTAGTATCAGAACATGCCTTTCCCTCCATTCTCTACTAGCCTGGCTGTGTTGGAAATCATTTTCTTCCACAACTGTGAGGCATTGCACCTTAGCCTTTCCAGTGTCAGTGTCTCAGAGAAGGTGGATGCAGCTTTCATTCTTCGTCCCTTTCTCTTTACAACTTGTAGATCTTCCCCTTGACCTGGGTGCAGTTTTTTGGTTATTTTGTTTTGACCTGGGTGTATTGATGTGCTTGGGTATGACTCTTCATCTCCTGTACTGGGTACTCAGTAGCGGTACTCAGCCTTAGAAACTCATGTCCTTCAGTTCTGGAGCTGTTCCTTGAGGTTTTTATTATTCATTTGTTAATTTATAATAAGGGATGGAACCTAGGGCCTTACAAATGCTAAGTACTATACCACTGAGCTACCTCCTCAGCTCCCCCCAGGCCCACATCCCCTGTTTTTTTCCTTTTGGTGCAGTGCTGGGAATTAAATCCAGGGCCTTCACACTGGACTACATCCCCAGTCCTTTTTTTTTTTTTGCCATTTTAAAAATATAACATTGCTTAGATGATTTGATACAGAACAGCTTTCTTTAATGTGTAGCATTTTATGCTCAGCCTTAAGAAAGAATAATAGGGCCAGGGATTTAGCTCAGTGGTTTCGCTGCCTGCTGCGCAAGCGCAAGGACCCAAGTTCAATCCCCGGTACCAAAAAAAAGAATAATATTCCTAACATTTTCCCCAGTGTCAGTGTACATTTCATATGCATCATTTAAGTAAGTGTTATATGGATTAAAGCAAAATTTGGGGATATGTTTTCCCCTTAATAATCGTGTCATTTTAATATTGCAATGGGTTTTTGTATGATTTTGGGGGGCACATTTTGATTTTTCCCCCTTAGTCAAAATTCCTTTAAGTGAAACTAGCAAGTCAAAGTTGTGTGACTGTCTTAACCTTGATGTATTGCTAACCTGCACCTGTCTGCTTTATCTGGCACTAAATGAACATTGATCTTAATGTCCCATCGTATTAAATAATACTAATTTTTTCCTTTAAATTTGTAGACAAAACTTTATTATTGTTGTAAGTTTTTAACTTTCATTGCAAGTAATTGTTTTTCTACCCATTTGTCTCTCCTCACCCACCCTACCCCCCCCCCCCCCAGTGGTAGGGATTGAATCCAGGGGACTCCATCACTGAGCCTTTTTTTGGCGTGGGTTTGTTTGTTTGGTTGGTTGGTTGGTTTTTTGCATTTGCAAGGCAGGCCGTGGAACCACTGAGCTAAATCCCTGACCCCTTTTTTTGGTGTTTTGAGACAGGGTCTCACCATGTAATTCAGACAAGCTTAAACTCACTGTGTAGTCCAGACTGACCTCCAATTTGCAATGATCCTACTGCCCCTGCTTCCTGAGTGCTGGGATTACAGACGTGCATCACCACCCCCTGCTATCACTGGGCCTTTTTTTCATTTTTTGGGTTTTTTTTTGGTTTTTTGGTACCGGGGATTGAACGCAGGACCTTGCGCTTGCAAGGCAGTTGCAGTGCCACTGAACTAAATCCCTGGCCCCATTTTTTGTTTTTGAGACAAGATCTTGCAAAGTTACCCAGGTGGAACTCAAACTTGTGTCCTCCTGCCTCAGCTTCCCTAAGTGCTGGGACACATGACATATATGCGCCACCACTCTGTTCCTTCCTGTTCCTTTTCCTTTCTTTTGAAATACATTACTCAGTTTAATGGGGTCTGTGTTTTCTTTTATTGATTTGGATAGCATGAGAATAGTTTAAATGCCCCATTCTCTCATTTTCCTAAGCACAGTAGAACTGACAGTTGGGCAATAATACTACACGTTGGTTGTTCAGAGGCTGAGCTCTCAGGTTTTTCATAGTTTTTGTTTTTGTTTGTGTTTTTTTTTATTCTTTTTTTTTTTTTCCCTTTTGGTACCAAGGATCGAACTCAGGACCTTGGGCTTTCGAGGCAGGCGCTGGAAGCACTGAGCTGTTTTTTTGTTCGTTTTTGTGGTACCGGGGATTGAACTCGGGACCTTGTGCTTTCAAGGCAGACAGCAGAACCACTGAGCTAAATCCCTGGACCCGTTTTTGTTTTTGAGACAGGGTCTTCCTATATATATAATTCAAGCTGGCTTTGAATTCACTGTGTAGCGCAAGCTGGCCTTGAACTCTTGGTGATCCTCCTGCCTTAGCCCTCCATCTGCTGGGATGACAGGCGTGTGGCACCACGCTTGGCAGGAAGACATTTTAAAAAGGAGCAAGGAGCAAACACAAACTGAGAAAGAACTTTAGTAACACCTAAAACTAATAAAAGATTCATATTCAAAATACATGGACAATGGCCGGGGATTTAGCTCAGTGGTTTTGCCGCCTGCTGTGCAAGCACAAGGGGCCGGGGATTTAGCTCAGTGGTTCTGGTGTCTGCCTCGCAAGCACAAGGTCCTGAGTTTGATCCCCGGTACCAAAGAAAACCAAAATACGTGGACGTGTGTGTGTTCTCCAACTCAGAAATATGAGATAAAAATTTATAGCAATACTTGGGCCAGGGATGTAGCTCAGCAAAAGGCCCTGTGTTCAATTACCGATACATGGAAAGAAAAAGAAAGTTACAGCAATACTTGAACAGGAAATCCAACCTAACTCTTTCTACTTGAAATCCAAGTGCGTGATAAACATACGAAAATTTTCCTTGCCTCATTAATTGGGCAAATAAAATCACTGCTAGATTACCAAAGACTTAGTATCTACTAATATACTATTGCTAAGAAGAGCAGTGGAAAACTGAGATAGTGCTGGGAACATTTTAGAAAATAATTCAGCATCACCTGAAGAGTTGAGGATAATTCCCCTAGAGCCCTGTGATACCACTTCCTAGAATGACCTTAGAGAAACTGGTACACACAGGAGAATGCACATGGATATTCATGGTCCCATTGCTTGTGTCAGCAGAAACTGGTTGCCACCTGAGGAGTGCATTAACAGTGAATAAGTGACTTGTGGTGCATCAGGTGTGTAGTGCTGAAGGGGTGGCTTAAAGTGAGAGAAATGTCATTAGTCATGTCCATCTCTTGGGATATATCTCCGAAAGACATATTGAGTGAAAGGCAATTCAGTTCAGAATCACAAAGTAAACAGCATATTGCTTATATCTATGTACAGAACTGAAAAAAACTAAGAAAAAGCTGAGAATGATTAACACAGAATCCAGAGTAGTTGGGAGAGTTGGGGGAATCAGTAAGTTGGGATGAGGATGAATGAGACAGAGAGGGACCTCCCCCGCCCCTGCCCCGCCGCCGCCCCCAGTACTTGGGAATGAGTGTGGGGCCTTTGCACTGAGTTACATCTCTAGCTCTTTGTAATTTTTTTTATTTTGAGACAGGGTCTTTCTGAGTCACTGAGTTGCCCAGGCTGGGATCAAACTTGTAATCCTCTTGCCTCAGCCTCCAGAGTGCTGGAATTATAGGCATGGATCACTGTGCCTAGCTCTGTTAGTTTTCTGTTTCTTTTTAATTTTATTTTTGTTTTTGTTTTTTGGTACCTGGGATTGAACTCAGGACCTTGCACTTGCGAGGTAGGTGTCGGAACCACTGAGCTAAATCCCCAGCCCATTGTTTTTGTTTTTTGAGACAGGCTCTTGCTGTATAGTTCAGGCTAGTCTTTTTTTTCTTTTTCTTTTTTTTGGTACCAGGGATCAAACATGGGACCTTTCACCAGGCTAGTCTTGAACTCACTGTGTAGCCTAGGCTGGTCTCAAACTCTCAGTGATCCTTCTGCCTCAGCCTCCTGAGTCCTGGGATTACAGGCATGCACCACCATGCCCAGTAGTTTTCTGTTTCTGAACCTGGGTGTTTATTTTGCTGTGCTTTTGTACATGAATCTCATGCACTCTTCTGCTTGCTGTCTAATAACAACAAAATACATTTTGTTTAACCTGAATATCTGATAAAAGAGGCAAGGCAAGAGGCTCTAAGCAAAGACAGACCTTGATTTTGCTTCTGGTTTAGCAAATAGAATCTTGATTATAACAGGCAATAATAAACCGATTTGTTTTGTTTCTTGTTTTTTGAGACAGGGTCTTGCTCTGTAGTTGAGGCTGGCCTTGAATTCACTATGTAGTACAGGATGGCAGTGAATTCACAGTGATTCTCCTGTCTTAGCCTCCTGAGTGCTGAGCTTACAGACTTGCACTACCACACCCAGCGATAAAACTAATTTTTAATATAAGTTGGTTGGTTTGTTTGTTTTGGTACCAGGGATGGAACTCGTGACCTTGGCGCTTGCAAGGCAGGCAGTGGAACCACTGAGCTAAATCCCCAGCCCAATATAGGTTAATTTAAAAGGATTAAAATCTACAGATTGTAATTCCCTTTTTAAAAACGTTTTGTAAAGGTATAGGATATAGTCAGTGTTGAAGAAATTGGCTTTATTTACTTTTAATCCTTGAATGCCTCCTTTTCTCTAGCTGTGCACATTACCTACTGGCATCACATGGCAAGCCAAGGTTTCTGGATGGTAATTCTGCCAGACCCACTTTGTGATCATGGTCCTTCATTGGTTTTCAGTCTGGTTCATGACTACTAGATTTTCTTCGTTAAATCACTGCTTTACATGCTGTGCTGTCGTTGTAATTGGTTGCAGGAAGTCAGGGCTTCTGAGGCAGATGTCAGTAACCTCTTCTCTTCATGTGCTTTAGCTCAGGTTCAGATTGAAGGAGACTTCCTGGCATGTTCCTTCTCTATTCTTGAGGAGCAGCCCATGGACATGCTTCTGGGACTGGACATGCTTAAACGGCACCAGGTAATTAAGAACTTAACTTTTTTTTTTTTTTTTTTGCATATTACATGGTTATCACATCATTTCTGTTGGTCATATATACTAAAAAAAATGCATGATTTTTCAAACCTAGAATTTCCTTAGCTGATTATATTGCCACAGGATGGTTGAAGTGATGTGACATTAGAAATAGAACCTTTGTGAAGTGTCTGTGAATCTCCTAAATCTGGCCAGGCATTTAACTCAGTGGTTTTGCCGCCTGCTGCGCAAGTGCAAGGACCCGAGTTCGATCTCCGGTACCAAAAAAAAACCAGCTAAAAAAATCTCCTAAATCTTGGTGTCTGCTTTGACATAACTGGCAGTTTGGTTCCCTTGTGTAATTTTAATAGTTTTGTTTGTTTGTTTGTTTGTTGATGGTTTATTATGAGTGTTAAGTTCAGTAAGTCTTTAGTAATTCTTTTGGTTTTTTAAGACAGCATCTTGCTGTATACTTCAGGCTGGGCTTAATCTCACTGTATAGCCCAGGGTGGCCTCGAGCTCACTCCTGCCCGAGCCTCCTCAATGCTGGGGTTACAGTTGTGTGCCATCGAGCCTAGCTTTCTTCATATATATTCATATATATTCATATATGTTCATATATATGGTGTAGAGAGTTAGTGGGGTTTTTTGTAACGGAAGAATAATTTGAAAATATATTACCTTGTAGTCCTTTTTTATTATTATTTATTTATTTATTTTAGGGGGGGTACCGGGAATCACAGGTACAGTGCCACTGGCTAAATCGCCAGCCCTGTAGTCCTATTTTTATTTCTATTCTAATGCCTAAAAATTCCAGACTTTTATAACACTTTCATTGAAAAGGTAGTATCCATTAGGAAATAAAAATCTTGGAATAATACTGAGTTCAAGGCCACCCTGAACTACATAGTGAGACTCTATCTCAAAAAGAAAAATGTGGGCTGGGGATTTAGCGGCTTTGCCGCCTGCTGCGCAACTGCAAGGACCCAAGTTCGATCCCTGGTACCAAAAAAAAAAAAAAATTAAAACATTGCAATAGATTTTTATATGTAGTCATTATTCTTATATCACTATTATTTTTGTTTTAAAATATTAAATTCCTGGGCCAGGGATTTAGCTCAGTGGTTCTGGCGCCTGCCTCGCAAGCACAAGGTCCCGAGTTTTAGCCCCAGTACCTCAAAAAAAAAAAAAAATTAAATTCCAGCTGAAATGTGGTGAAATGCTTAACTAGCTTGCAATCCAGAGGGGTCTACCACTGAGCTATATCCTCAACCTTTCTTATTTTTTATTTTGAAGCAGTGTCTCACTAAATTACTCAGGCTGCCTCTAACCTGAGCTCCTTCTGTCCCGGCCTCCTGAGTAACTTGGATTACAATCGTGCACCCCCATGCCCAAGTTTGTTCTATACTAAGTAGATATAAAAATCCCAGAGAAGAATAGCATATATATGAAACAGAGGATACTTTTGTAGAGGTTGCCTTGCACATTCTCACTTTCGTGACTATTGGTAGAGTCTAAGCTGTTCTTCATAAAAGAAGCAAATGCAAGACCATATAAATAGTATGGTTTTAACTTTATGAGAAAAAAATCACTTGTATGTTTCTTAAAAATGGGGCTGCTAATTATGCCTGGTACCTTTCCAAGTTTTATATAATGAATATCTATAGTCAGAAATGATTGATTATTGCCGTAAAGACAAATATAAACTATCCTATAAAGGTTTTTCTGATATAAACTTTGAATATTAAAAAAGAATTCTAAGCAAGGCATGGTGGTCTATGCCAGTTCCAGCACACAGGAAGCTGAGGCAAGAGGATCACTGCAAGTTCAAGGCCAGCCTGAATTATACATAGCATGACCCTGTCTCATGAATGAATGAATGAATTCTAAACTGGTGCAGTAGTGTACACATTTAGCCCCAGCTGTTTAGGATAATGGCACAGGAAGATCACTTGAGCCCAGAAGTTCAAGGTCAGCCTTGGCAGTATACTAGTAACAACTCATCTCAAAACTTGAAGAAGAAAAAAAACATAAAATAACTGGTAATATCACCCAAGTTAAATTTAAATGCTTTTAGATAAAGTAGTTTGTTTTGTTGTTTTGTTTATTCATCTCTGTGTTGGTCCTTGTAAATTGAGTTTTTAATTTGGGCTCATAATTTTTCTGCATGGCATTTTATCTGCTTTTTTTTTTTTTTGGTTTCTTCCTCTTAAGTGTTCCATTGATCTCAAGAAAAATGTACTGGTGATCGGCACCACAGGCTCACAGACAACCTTCCTTCCCGAGGGAGAGCTACCAGAGTGTGCCCGCTTGGCATATGGCACCGGGCGAGAGGATATCCGGCCAGAGGAAATTGCAGACCAAGAGTTAGCAGAAGCCATTCAGAAATCAGCAGAGGATGCAGGTATTGGAATGGTTGAGCCCTTGGATAATGCTTTCAGAGAGGGTAAGACCTTTCCAGTTTGTGATCGGTCTGATCATCCAGCAGTAGGCATGCTCATTGTCTCCTTTCCTCCCCTCCCATCTCTTAATACAGTAAAGAACAGCTTGGTTTCAGCAGATTGAGAAACAATCCATTGCTGTATACAAAATAGATTGGGAAAGTATTTGCTTATGTACCTCTGGGTGATCTTCCTAAAACTTAATCTTGGATTTTTTTCTTTGCTAAAGGAAATTGTAGCAGTAAGCTGATACTTAGTTTTGATTTCAGCAGTATTTCCCTGAAATTTTTTTTTTCCTTTCTTAGGCCCATTTAGTTTGAAGGACAGCATTGTCGCTGTGACTAAAGTAGCACTTTAAAAATATTTTTGGGGAGGGCTGGGGATTTAGCTCAGTGGTTTCGCCGCCTGCTGCGCAAGCACAAGGACCTGAGTTCGATCCCTGGTACCAAAAAATATATATATATATATTTTGAAAGTATGGCCAGCAAACAAGAAGAACCAGCAGTTAGAATCATAATTGAACAGTAATCAAAATAAGATGTTTACGCTCTTATTGAGATCATTGTAGTGTCATCATGCTGTACAACACAATGAAAACTATTAAAGTCAAGGGACTTAATATTTTTTTCTAAGTCCCAAGTGTTATGACCTATTTAAATATAAAGATGGAGCCAATTTTCTGGGTAAAATGGAGCAGCACAGTTTAACTCATATCCCCCATCTGTTACAGAAAAATGACTGTAGGATGCATTTTGTAGAAGCTTGTACCTTTTTTTTTTTTTAAGAATTACCTTTTAGGGGCTGGGGATTTAGCTCGGTGGTTTTGCCGCCTGCTGCGCAAGCACAAGGACCTGAGTTCGATCCCCAGTACCAAAAAAAAAAAAGAATTACCTTTTAAGTTTGAGTTATTTTAAAGTCTTGAACAGCAATTATTCATCATTATGATTAATGTCACACATTGCTTTTTCTAGTACAGTAAAATGTGTCAAGAGTTAGATGTTCAGGGAATAGCTTTCTTCTGATGACAAAAGAGATAAAAAGCAGCCAGGTTTGACACTTGTTTTTTCCCCAGTACTAAGGGTAGAACCCAGAACCTTCACACTGAGCTATAACCCCAGTCCTTTTTATTTTTAACTTTAAGGCAGGGTTTCCACAGAGTCACTAAGATGTCCACGTTGGACTCAGACTTCTGATCCTCCTGCCTCAGCCTCCCAGAATGCTGGGATTACAGGAATTTGCTACCGTGTTTGGTTATTGCCACGTGTTACTCGAGAACATTCCAGCATCCAGCCCTGAGTTTAAAATGGGCTTGGGTAGCAGATGCAGTTGTCCAAGCTGGCCATGTTCATAATATAAATGTCTATCACTATTTAGCCCAGTGTTGCATGTAAAATGCAGTTTTGGGCTGGAGATGTTGCTCAGAGGCAGAGCACTTGCCTGGTGTGCACGTGGCCCTGGGTTCAAAACACTCCCCCCGCCAAAAAAAAGTGGAGTCTTGGTTGCAACTTATGTAATTTGAAGGAAAGGGAAAATTTTAATCTTCCCAGTGAGGTAAGCATGAACAAATTTGACCTACCTACTTAATTTTGGGTAATTTGTCAGCTTAGTCATACTACATGTTAATAAGAAATAGAAAATTTTCTTTCCCTTTATTAGAGGAACATTAGCTGATGACAGCCATGTTTTCTAACCCACTAGTAGCAGTTACCCTCTTGGGTGACCACTTTATTTTTTTGTTTGTTTGTTTGTTTACTTGTTCGTACAGGGATCAAATTTGGGACTTTGTGCTTTCAAGGCAGGCAGCCAAGCCACTGAACTAAATCCCTGGCCCTGACCACTTTATTTTAATAGAAACTTTAGGAGATTGAAATATATACCACAGATGTTTTCAGGGGTTGTTTTTTGGTTTTGGGGGGATTTTTTTAAGGTACTGGGGATCAAACTCCGGTCCTTGCACTTGCAGGGCAGGCGGTAGAACCACTGAGCACAATTCCCAGCCCATTCAGTACCGGTTTTAAAAGATAAAAAGAAAGTGGCTTTTTATCCATGTAACCTTTTGTTACTAATACATATGGCTTATACTGATTTTTATAAACTTTAAATAGTGAAACTAATTTTGCAAAATTAGGTCCTATTTGTTTGGAAAACCCACCTTCCCAAATCCAAACTCTGGACATGATAGGTGAAGCTATTTTGTGAAAAGCTGTTGCTTTGGTAGATACTTTCCTTTTTTTTTTTCTTGCTTACCTTGGACCCTCGCCCTCTTCTCACCAGCTTATGCTGCTGCCAGCAGATCAGACCCTCAGTTTCTCAGCTGCCACCACCAGTGTCTGGTAGATACTTTCTATCAAAGTGTATTTATATTTCTTATCAGTTGAAAAATAATTTACCCAAGAGTGGTGGCACATCCCTGCAATCCCAGTAGTCTGGGAGGCTGAAACAGGAAGATCACAAGTTTGAGCCCAGGGCAGGTAACTTAGCAACCTAGGGAGATCCTGAGTCACAAAGGATTAGGGATATAGCTCAGTGCAAAGGCTCTGAGTTCAATCCCCTATACTATGAGAAGAATTTAAAAGTGGAACTATATTTGATATATTAAAACTGACTAAAAGTAAAGCAGTTAAGTCAGGATAAAATTTAATAATATTTCTTTTCTTCTAAAAGTGAATCTTAACTGAGAAATTTGCAAAGTGATAGTTATGTGTTCACTCAACCTTTATGCCATATGATTTCATCATCTAACTTTATCTGATGGATCTTCTTTTTTCACCTGACATATTTGCACATAAATTCTGAGTGTAGATGTATAAAATTAATTTTTTAAATTCAGTTAAAAATCTATTGAGTGCTGGGCGTGCTGGTGCATGCCTATAATCCTAGCACTCGGGAGGCCGAGGCAGGATCATTGCACAAGTTCAAAGCCAGCCTGGGCTACATAGCGAGGCCCTGTCAAAAAGCACACGCGTGCGCCCCCCCCATCATCTGTTGAAGTTGACATATTGCTTTCTGAACGTGGGAGAATTGAAGCAACCAGCAAATCTTTTGGATGTCCAAACTGTAGAAATATTCCCTGACTTTGAGCCTACTAGTTCCTGATTTTAAAGATGCCAAAGGAGTGGAGAATGTTACCCCCTGCATGCTGTGTGGTTTGCATTGTTAACCCAGGTTTGCTTGTCTGTTTCCTAATCCAAACAGAGCGTCAGAAGCCATGATGCATGTAGTGTGTGTGTACTGCAGCTGGAGTGGGCCCCAGACCAGGTATTTATAGACACCACGTTAAGCCTTCCATGCAGTTGTCGTCTGTGCTCTCAAAGCCTCTGTATCTATAGCGGTTTTGGAAGTTAACTTCTGCCGTTGACCATTTCACCATGTTTAATCGTGGTTACAACTACCTTGTAGTATTTACATTTGTGTGTATGTTGGCACACACATACATGTAAATATAAATTTCTGTTTAAAATTTTATCAATTATTATGACATTTCAAAGGAGGGAGAAAAACTTAGTAAAAAGTGCCCATCATAGCTACCGTGACTACTAGCTATTGTGAATATCAACTTAAGAATTTGATGTCACAGCACTTTGTAATTGGAGATACCCCTGTGCATTTATGATTCTCCTAAGTCCCTCTCCTCTGAAAACCTGAAACCTCTTTTTCTCTGATACCGCACATGACCACCTGGAGTTACAGGAGAGCAGAAATTTTCATTCTGTTCAAGAAGAAATGGAAGCTTGTCAGGTGACTTGTGTAGAGTCACAAGAGTTGGTAAGATAGGCAGGTCTTATATTTCATTATCCCCGAAACAAGAACTGAGACTTTGCCTTTCCCTCTGCCCTGGCTTCTTAACAGATTATCCATTCTGCTTCCATTTCCCTGTGATACACACAAGATCTTTGTCAGCCTGAGTATATTGGGTGATACAGCAAGACAGGAAAGGTTTTCTTTCACAAAATAAGGACTTTGTAGGGATTATCTGGCTGGTTGTAATTGAATTCATAGCATTTAATCCCCCCACCCCACCCTCAAAACCTCTACCTACCTACCCCTCCCTTCTTTTCTCTCCTCCTCCTCCCCCTGTTCTTCTCCCTCTCTCTTTCTTCTCTCTCTTTTTTCCCCTTATAAGGACAGGTTTAAAATAGGCATAGTTTAATTATTCTTAATCTCTATTATTCTCATCCTCTTCTTCTAAGTATCCTGTAATACTGACCTAGTCTTACACTATAGTTAGGACTTAGGCTAATGAAAGTGACCATATCAGGTACAGAGACCTATATGCTGCTCTCTTAGTGGGTACAGTATCACTTGAGAATGTTTTGACCTTCACCTTATATCATAAGTTATAACTTGTATACCAGTGCTTGTTGCTAATAGGGATTACAGTACAGTTTTATATTAGCATTAGATCAGAGTTGAATGTCTTTCAGAATCAGCCTTGTTGATTAGATTGATAAAACCAGTGACTGTGTTTCTAGATTCTGATGGATATAATTTAAATAAGACACGCTGTTTTCCTGTTTATTGCTAACCTATAAGTAAGGTAAGATTATTTTGTAAGAAGTCAACAACTTCGTGACACAATGCTTTATTGTCTTGTGTTGTTAACCAGTGTTTGATTTGAATGACTTAAAGCTGTTGGAATTGTAACTGCATTTCTTCATGACTTAAGTCAAGATCGAGTCCCGTGTTGGATGTTAACCTTCAGCCCAAATCATTTGAGTTGCATCTAACCAGACAGTGTATTGTGACCAGTCTTTTAGCCATTAGTTATAGTAAGTGCTTTTGGTCAGTTTTTAACTTGTTCAGTGTCAAAAGGAGAATTGGAACTGGTGTTTAATGATATCATTATGTTATCTGCACTGAGCTAGTGTTAAGTCTGCCATCATGTTTGAGGTTCATTAATTGCAGTGACTCTTAAGTTTAGTCATTGCTGCCAGGCATGGTGGCACATACCTGTAATCCCAGCACAGAGGCTGAGGGCAGAGGATTACCATGAGTTCAAGGCCAGCCTCAACTACATAGCAAGGCCCTGTCTCAAAAATAAAATCATTAGTTCGACCCTCGGTGCCATAAATAAATAAATAAAATCATTGCCTTTTGAAAAACTTGTGATCTCCCTCCACTGTTCACTTCCCTATTCTTCTCTTCTTAAAGTGCTTAAATGTTCTTAATTGTACTCTATTAATGTGATAACTGATAATCCTTTAAAGTTGCAATATTTGGTAGGGTGATAATTGGGATTTAATTTCTTTGATCTTTAGCTTTACTTCTATTTTCCTGGAGTTCTGCAAGTATGCAAATTCTTATTTCTCCCATAATTCCTACTGTGTCCCAAGTATACTTGCTTTTATACTTCTCCTTTCTAAGTTCAGTGTTTACATCTAAAACATGAAAAATGCATTGGCATGGGAATTACCATGTTGCAAGGGTTCTCAAGATTTGTGATGTGCTTAAGAGTCCCCCGGGGAACTCATTCCAAGTGCAAGCTCCTCGGTTTCACTCCAAGGATGGCACCCTAGAGCCTGCATATTTAAAGCATCCCAGGCAGTTGTAGGACAAATGGTGGAAAAATATACTTGAAGAAACTATTCTAGAGCTTTTGACTCAATGGGAATGAAGTGTAAGTGTGTTACAGCCTGAGCCCTGGCCCAGCTGTTAGGTAAATATATATCAAACTACAGTAAACTTGTGCTCTCAAGAACATTCCTGCCTCTTATTCTGCTTCTGTGACATTAAATTGCCTAACGGGTTGAGAAAAATTCTTGTGTTTTTAAAATCATGTCTATATGTCTTAAGAGAGACCAGAAGTAAAGGACTTAACTTTTATTCTATACTGTTTAGATTTGTATCCTCTGATAATTTATTGGCCTTTGTTACCTGCCAGTTAATCTTTTTGCTTTCCCTTTTGCGACAGAGAAAAGCGGTAAAGAATCTACCTCACTGGGAATGTCATCATTACCAACTTCAGATGGATTTACCCCTCCAGCCCATTCTTCAGGACCAAGTCCTGAGATTGGTAATCCTACGAGTCTTGCTCACTCTGCCTCTGCTTCAGTCTGCCCTATTGAGCCCAGTGACCCAGATAGCATTCAGCCTAAAGCTGTAAAGGCTTTGAAGGCTTCAGTTGAATTCCAGATGAACTCAAAAAAGAAAGAACTTCTTCCTCTACAGGATCCTTCTGATCATGCTTCCTCAGCAGACCAGAGTCCAGCTATGCCTTTGCATAATTCATCTGAAGAAGCAGTCATTAGAGATAATCTGGAGAAATCTGCTGAAAGAAGCAGCCAGGGCCTCAAACTTTATCTCCATACAAGACAGGAAGCTAGTTTATCTGTCACAACTGCTAGGATGCATGAACCACTGATGCTTGTAGACAAAAAAGGTTGGCACCCAGAAAATCAGAACCTGCGTCAACTCAATGGCCTTCACCAACACACAGAACCAGGGAACAAACAGCATGAGGTACAGCAGAATGCTCCTCATGACCAAGGACATCTTTGTGACCTGGGGGACATTCAGCTTCCTGAAGAAAAGCAACAGGATCAACAGAAAATTGTTGGTTTGAAAGCTTCGATGAAGGAAGAGGGGCTACAGCAGAACTCGGATCTACCCAGCCCAGAGAAAAGCTTTCTACCTTCAGGATGCTTTGGCTCCTCAAATTCAGAAATGCTTATGGAAATAGAGGTGGTTGAACAGTCCGTAGTTGCTGTGCTTAAGTCAACAGGCAGTCAGAATGCCAATGTCGAGAACATTGGTGTATCTAGTCTCACTTCAGATAATCCCTTGATGGAAGTAGAAACATCAAAATGTAATCCTTCGTCTGCAAGTGTGAATAATTCCATTTCCACTCAGGATTTACAGCCCCCAGAAAGTAACATTGAAATGTCTGGAACCAATAATGAATATGGCAACAGCCTACCTTCTCTCAATCTCTGTGGCAGTTGTCAGCCCTCTGTGGAGTCAACAGAAGAATCTTGTTCATCTGTAACAGCAGCCTTGAAAGAACTTCATGAACTTTTGGTCAGTAGTAGTAAGCCAGCTCCAGAAAATACATCTAAAGTTATCTGTCAGTCAGAAACGATACCTGAGGGCCAAACAGGTGTTAAAGACTTTTCAGAAAGATGGACTCAGAATGATCACCTGGCCCACAGAGAACCGTGTCCACAAGTCTTCTGTCATCAGGCCAGTTCTGTATCAGTGAAGTCAGAAAGCTTAGGCGCTGTGTCTGGCACTGGAACAGAAGACACAGAAGATTCTAGCTCCCAGGGTCAAAGTGATGGTCTGTCAGCTGACAAGAAAGGTGTCCCCAGATTTAGAGAGTCAGTGAGTGAGAGCAATTCTGTCACTATAACCTCAGCTGAATCATCTAATCAGTTACATTGCACCTTAGGTGTAGAAATTTCACCCAGTCTCACAGCCAGTGAGGATGCCCTCAGTCAGACTTCTGAGCAAACTGAGTCTTTGCCATCTAGTTTTATACTGGTTAAAGATCTGGGTCGTGGCATACAGAGTCTGGTAACAGACAGGCTCGAAACCAGAGAAAATGCCTGTCCTGACACTGCGAGGCCATTTCTTGAATTGGATCCACTTACCAGTCATCCATCAAGTCCTTCCCTTCTTTCACCCTTAATTTTTCCTGCCACAGATATTGACCGGATTCTCCGGGCTGGCTTTACTTTGCAGGAAGCTCTTGGGGCATTGCATCGAGTTGGAGGAAATGCAGACCTTGCACTTCTTGTTTTGCTAGCAAAGAACATTGTAGTTCCTACATAACTATGGGAAAGTGGGCTAGACCATACTCCATTCCCTTTAAAAAAAAAAAAAAAAACGCTCTATATATACACACATATATACACTCTCGACATACACAGTATATTTAGAAACCTGCAAGCAGAATGTTGAGCCAGATTTTTTTTTTTAAAGATTTTTTTCGGCCAAAGTAATTTATGATCTTTTGTCTGATTAATTTGTCTATTCTACTTGTTAAATTCTGGGCCTTTTAAAATGTATTGGCAGTATGTGCATACAAAGCTTTTTATTCTCATTAAGGTGATGTATTCTGGAATAAAATGGATGGTTTTGTTTATAGCATAACATTTTAGAATGAGAGTGAATGCTTTAAAAAGCAGAGGCCATGAGAAACCCACCGCCCATGCAATTACAAACAGATGAGCTTCTCACTATGGCTTTGTCTCTGCTACAGGCAGGGTATGGCTTACTGACTCAGTCATCAATTTAGAAACTTTTGACCATACAGCTTGGTGTTTGGAATTTTACACAGTGTCTGTGTATTATGATTCACCGATTATAACAGGAAATTGAAGAATAATTTAATATATCCTAGAGTGGTATGCTTTTATTTGTGTGCTCAGAACTTTGACATTTTAAGAGTGATGGGGGGAGTTAAAATTTGGGCTACTTTGTGAATCGCAAGCTGCAGTATACCTGGGTTGATTGCCAAATATCTTTGTTACATTGGGTGGGATATCTTAGAACTAACATTAGATTGAAACATGGTGCTACCCAGAATTTAAAAGGGAAGGGATAAAAGGCCCCAACGTTATTCCGTTTGCAAATGTCAAGGACTTTGCAAGAAAAATGGCCTAAACACTGGAATTTACTAAAGATTGGGTTTGCTAGCATCTCCCCGATAGCACCTCAACCCTTAACGACTAATGATGAACGCAAGCTTAGCTACATGGGTTGATTGCCAGCAGCTTATTTCCTTTCCAAACTCACCTTCTACTAGGAAGTTCTTCCAGAACATTTGGTTGCTATCTGAGTGAGACATTGAAGTGTGATAATCTTGTCACTGGTTCATCTTGGTGCTTAGAATGGTCAATTTGGTGTCATTCATGGCAGTGAAAATAGTAGTTTCTGACTTAAGTGGCCTTGGTAAAGTTTTCCATCCCTTTCTTTCCTCAGGAGTTTCTTTTTAAAGCAAGATTCATGTTTGTGTTTACTGTGTCAAATTAGAGTGGGGCAAAATATATAGAAGTATTGTGGCCTTTTTTTTAATATAAGGACTAGCCCTTGGAAGTCATTGTCCTGTGGGCCCCACTGTGCAATAATCCTACTGGATAGGTTTTCGACAATTCTTTCCTAGAAAATGAACTGTTCTTTTAGGTACCTAGCAGGAATCTGAAATCTTGTTTTGTTTTTTAAGAATTTTGAAAGCCAGGTGTGGTGGTACATACCTGTAATCCCAGCCCTCTGAAGGCTGAGGCAGAGGACTACAAGTTTGAGATCAGCCTGAGCTACATAATGAGACCCTGTCTGAAGAAAAAAACAGTGAGCCTGGGGATGTAGCTCAGTATCACTGCGCCTGCCTGGCAAGTGCAAGTTTCTAAGTTCAATTCCCAGTACCCCCCAAAAAGAAAAAATAATAAAAATTTTAGAAAGTTAATTTGAGAATGATTATTCCTGATTCCAGATTATAGTTTGCAACATGTCTGAAACACAAGCTTTTGAAAGAATGATTGCTAAACTGAAGAGTTAAATGATTTTTTTTTTTCTGGTCTCTGAAAGCTTGTTCTTTCCATCAAAATTGAATCACTGAGCACAATCAAAACAGACTCATCTCAGGAGTTTTTGAAACTTTAATTAGGGACACTTGGAGGCAACTCCCAGTTTCTTTTTCTTTGCTGTGTTGTTTGTATGTGTGCTCGGAGACTTCAGTGACCTGATGTAGGTCACACGTAGATGCATCATGATCCTTTCTGAAGTTAGGAAACTCTTGACAAAAGGAGCGGTAGTCTTCTATTGTCCAGTGGGTGCTGAGAACAACAGGTGAACCTGGCTGTCTTTAAACTTACAGGCACCCACATGTCGTAGACTCTTGCTTGCCCTACACCAAAGATGTAAGATGCACTAGGAAGCTGTTATAGGATTTGTCAACCGACTCAGAGCTGTGATTGTAGTTAAATGGTTGGTGCTATGACTGAGGCAAAATCCAGCAGCAGTGCAGGGGGGCCCTGTATTTGCTTTATGGATGGTGGTTTGAGAGTGTATTTTAGAGTTGGTTTGGTTTGGTTTGGTTTTGTACCGGGGATCAAACTCGGGTCCTTGCGCTTGCCAGCAGGTAGCAAAACCACTGAGCTAAATCCCCAGCCCTAGGGTCTTAAATCAGGGCACAGGGTGGGGTGGGTAAGGGAACTTCTCAGCGACAACTCTGCCAAAAGGCCTGTGTAAAGGTGGCCACAGGGCTTTTTGTGTGAGACTCCAGTGCCCTGCTCAGCAGCTGGCCACTGACTTTTTTTTTTTTTTTTGGTACTGGGAATCGAACTCATCCTTCTGCTTGCAGGGCAGTCGGTGGAACCACTGAGCTAAATCCCCTGCCTGGCCCTGGCCACTGACTTTATAATGTTGAGGTTTGGGAAACTGTCCCAGGTGGAGTACATAATGTCAGTCTGGAAAAGATTTCATTATAGTAATTTTGATGTATGTATCTGTATATTTATTTTTAGGAAAATTGAACAGGCTTATAGTTGTACAGGTATTCTTTTTAAAAATACTTTCAATGAGCTTAACCCACTTGCCAAATCCCTTTTGATCTTTTTTTTTTAACATACACTTGCTTTTGATTTTTAAAATATCACTGTCTATCACATCATTTATATAAAAATAAAATTGTTGACATTGTTAGGATTTTTAATTTTTATGTTATTGGTTTTTTTGGTACCAGGTATTGAACTCGGGTACTTGCACTTGCGCAGCAGGCGGTGAAACCACTGAGCTAAATCCCTGGCCCATTGTTAGGATTTTGAATGATTTTTTTTAATTTAACAGTTCTAGACCATAAAGGGGATTAGGAATATTACACTATTGAAGCTGTAGTGTCAGTTTTCATTCAGTGTTTTAACACTTAAGAACTTCAGAAATATGGGCCGGGAATTTATCTCAGTGGTTCTGCTGCCTGCCTCGCAAGCACAAGATCCCAAGTTTGATCCCCAATACCAAAAAAAAAAACTTCAGAAGTGCAGAAATTATATATCAACTTCTAAAAATAAGATCAAGCCATGGTAAACCCCTCTGATAAATCCCGTACCTTCTCAGGCCAGTCCTGTGTCAGCACTTACATCTAGGGCAGTCTCTGCTTATTCACCAAAGAGAAGAGGGTTTCCTCCTGTAAGACTTGTTTCATTCCCTTCAGTCAGTGCCTGTGTAAAAGGGTGCACTTGGCAACCAGACTGCTATACCTAGGCTGTAGATTTTGCTTTTTGGCACTTAAAAGAGTTATCTCCAGTTCTGCCTCTTTAGGCCTCTAGACAGCCAGGAACCTTACTGCCACAGTTTGGGCCTTAACTGTTAATGGATAGAGATCAAAGGAAGCTGGGTAGATTGTGTGTGTGTGTGTGTGTGTGTGTGTGAGAGAGAGAGAGAGAGAGAATCCTGTCTTGTGGCCTACACTTCCCAGAGCTCCTTGACTCCATACTGAGTCACTCATACTCAGCATTGAAGGGAGACGCAGCCCCGTGTGTTTGTTCCCCAAAGCATTTCTTTAGCAAGAGGCCACCTAGGAATGAAATACAAGACTTTGTGTCACTCATTTTGTGATCCCCAATTGATGTGGAATCTGCCTGTTCTTCCCTATCACAGCTATCTCTAATGAAAGCCATAAAAATTGTTGGTGTGACTTTTCAGCTCATGTCTATAAATACATGTGTGAGCTATTACATATGGTGATTGACAAATGTCTTAGAGTTAATTTTGCATAGATTAAAAAGCAATTTTTATATCTATAGATGTAGTCTTTATTTACGGTGGCTTTTATCCCACCATGTATATAATAAACTGCCTTGCAAATAACTAGCCTGGAGAGTCACCTTGCATTCAAATTGTCTTTCCCTACTGTTGGTCACCTGTGTTGAGGGTGCAAAGGAAGGTTGAACTCTGCACATTTCAAACTTACTGTCCCTGGCAATGCATCCTAGAGAAGCTAACCAGGGCCTGGGGTGAGCTCAGTGGTATAGCACGTGCTTAGCATGTGAGGCCCTGACTTTGATCCCCAGCACCAAAAAAAATCCATATATAATAAATACAAGACACTAAGTTGTGTTCTCTCTCGAGCACTCTCACCCAGAAGCCTGTTTTCTCATTTGAATTTGGTGACAGTGTAGTCTGGCTGAAGACACAGTTATATAAGTTTCCCTTCCTAGAAAATGAATGTTATTTGTAGTATTAGGAGTTCCATAAAATAAAAATAGCCTTTTCTCCCCAGAGAATTCATGCTGATTCCTCTTACGCAGTAAAGTTGATTGAGAGCCTGTCCTTTGAACTGGAATGTGAAGTCATGGTACAAGTTTTATACTTAGTGGAGCCTCGGGATGGGAGGGTTGCTATATGGGATTTTGCATCTGGTAAATCAAAAGTGGCTCTCTAGTATAGTTTATTATGTTCTTCATTATACTATCAGTGTTAGGATGGATAAGAGAGAAAAAACTTGAGAAATTCTGTTACATATTTAAAAGGAAGTTACTACCTTCCAGCCTATGCAACATGAGTTTTGAGATAGGGCCTTGCTATGTAGCACAAGCAGGCCTTAGGATGATCCTCATGCCTCAGCCTCCCACGTACTGGGATTACAGGCATGTACCACTATGCTTTGTTTTCTTTTTTTGTGTCTGAAACAGTGTCACTCTGTAGTTAAGGCTGTCTTAAACTCACTATGTAGCCGCACCCCCCCCCCCAACTCACAGGACTTCTGCCTCAGCCTCCTGAGTGCTGGGATTACAGAAGGGCACCCGAATCCCTGGCTTGCAGGATGAATGTTTGAGGCTTCTGTTACTTTTTCATCTACTTATCAAATACTGAATGCCCACATGCCAGGCACTGATGGACACTGGGGATTGAGGAGTGACTTTTTTTTTTATTGAGGGGTGACTATTAACAGGTTAGACCCTCCCATTGTGAGGCTTTCAGAATAATAGCAAGACATGAAACATTTTTATTTGAAATCTAATATGTATTTTTGCTTATAAGCCTTTTTTTCCTCTCTCCCAGGACAGGGTCCTGTGTTCTCCAGGCTGGTCTCAAGTGGGATTCTCCAGCCTCAGGCCTTCACATAACTGAGACTACAGGCATGTGCCACTGCACCCAGTTAGCATGCTTAATTTTTTTTTTTGGTACCGGGGATCGAACTCGGGACCTTGTGCTTACGAGGCAGGCGGCAGCATCACTGAGCTAAATCCCCAGCCCACACATCCTTAATTTTTGAAGTCATTAGAGTTACTTGGTTCCAGTTGAGAGCCAGTTGGGAAGAATCAAGCCCACAATGGAATCACATGCTGGAAACCTGTTAACTTTTCCCCCAGTAGTGAATATTAAGCCCAGGGCCTTGTGCATGTTAGGCAAGTACTGTGTCACAGATACATCCTCGGTCCTAGAATTACTCTTAAATTTTATTATTTTTTAATACCAGGTATGGCAGTGTCCATCTGGAATCCCAGTACTCAGGAGGCTGAGGCAGGAGGATCAACTTTGAGGCCAGCTCCAGCTACATAGTGAGACCCAATCTCAATTTTTTTTGAAGCAGAGAAACCAACAAAATTGTAACATTTGATAGAAATACTTAAAGAAATCAGATGCTGAGAAATCAATTCATAATGCTGCTAGGAGGAAAGGGACGGGCAGGATAGGAGTCGAAGTTAATGGCACCAGTGACAGGCAGCCTTCCATCAGGACCTTCTGTGCAGGATGGAGCTGGGAGGGTGCACACGCCACCCACACCCCTCAGCAGACAAGCACTGCTGCTTGGGAATACTGGCCATCTGGGCTGGCAGGACTTCACTAGGATTCTGCAGGACGTGCTATTTTAAAGCAGCTGAGTGCAGCATATGAAAACGAATCTAGAGCAGGAAAAGTAGCAAGCCACCGTTCTGGGACTGGGTAGTAGGCAGGATTGATTGACAAAAGAAGTGGAGGCTCTAAATCTCAGGAGGCCTCCACCCAAGGGATGTTCTTTAACCCATTAAAACTGTTAGAGCCTATGTTGTGATCTGAAGCAAGAAGGCAGAATTTGAGTCTATGAGTGTTGAGGTTCACAGGAAACTGATGTGTCTGGCTGGTCACTAGAGCATTGGGGCTGTAAACCCGAGGGCTCAGCCAAGGGTGTAGGACACCACCATAAGGAATGAAGCTGGCCAAGTGGCACAAGGGCATAGGGGTTAGAGGATATTTCTTTACTAAAATATTAAACTACAGATGATCAGGAAATGGAGAGAGAGGACACAAAATTGGGGTGACTTACAGAACTACATTTCTCTGTACCATAAGATTTTCATTGTCTGATTTGGGGAAGGATCAGGTTGAGGCATTTTTTTCTTAGGAAATTTCACCTGATGGGAAATGATTTTGTTTAATTTGCAACCTTGAGTGAATGGGTCTGTGGCCTAAAGAAGGGTAGATGTGTGTTTCCTGCCAGAGCCAGTCAGGTCAGTTTAGTTTCCAGATTTCTTGACCAGGCTACGTTTGAACTCCTTAAAAGTCCACAAGACTTTGGAGTGTTATGCCACCCACCCAAAAGCTTTCTATCTGAATGCTTAGATTTCTGTTCACTCCTGATCACCCTTTTGAAATAGTTCTGGTGATAGAACATTTCTACACACTGGTTAAATTTGCTTTTTTCACCATGTACCTACAATAAAAATTGGCTTACGTGTTTTTATTCCAAATCCAAATGTTGATGGCAAGTTGGGCTAATGGCCTTTGCACTCAAGATTTGTTTACCAGTTTTATAGCCATATTTGGCAAACTACTAATAGAAACCCCTCTTTTCTTTCCCTTTTTTCTTTGTATTGCAAGATTTTCTTTAACCTTTAAGACTACTGCATCTTACAAGAAGAACTAGACTGACTGGCAAAATAGTCTTGCTAGTAGCTCAGTTGCTCCCAAATGCTTTGGTTTTGAGAGTTGGGAAAACTCTGAGAACTTAAGGGAACCAAACTCAGGAACCCCAAAGTTGGTTGCATTGTGCCATTTAGTTTAGGGGCTGAACGTAGGACCTGTCTACAGCTGAGTGAACTCAATGCCTTTGAGTTTGAATTTGTGTCATACTGAAAATGTAAGTCAGCCCTAAGTAATCAAACACTTTATTTTATTTTTCTTTTTTAATAGGAACTTTCTGAAGAAAAAATGATGTGTAAAACATTTGATATTTAAGACAATAAAGTTTTTACCATAAGAATTTTGTTTGATCAATTTCTTTTGAAATCGAGATGGTTACTTCACTTTGTCCTTGTCCTTTTCACTTGTGTCTCTGTCTCCCTGCCCTTTAAGTTGCACACACACAAGTGTCATGACTTAGAGTTGTCTCTATGCCTGAGTCCAGAAGAAGGGACATCTAAGAGCCATGAAACTAACTTCCAGATTGCAAGAGGACAGATGGGCATTTTATAACTACCTGTGCAATTGGTGCCTGGTAAGCTGTGGAATACACTGGTTGAGACTAGTTAGTGTTCTCTAGAGCCAGGTTGCTTGGCTATGAATCCCCTTTGCCACTTACTAGTTTATGTGACTGGTAAGTTACTAACCTCATGCCACCGTTTCCTCTTCTGTAACATGGGAAATACTGGGGGGAATTGTAGGGATTAAACAAGTTCACACATGTGTCTGGCACACAGCGTGCTCATTACATGTGAACAGGTATCGTTCAGAGTGGAGAACGCTGTGGACTTTCCAGAAGTTAGGAGATTCAGCCAGGCCTGATGATGCACACCTGTAACCCCAGCACCCTGAGAGGCTGAGGCAGAAGGATCCAAGTTTGAACCCAGCTGGACAACTTAGCCACTGAGTAAGACTATCAAAAAATTTAAAAGGGCTTGGGGATGTAGCTCAATGCAAAGGCCCTGGGTTCAGTCCTCAGTACTGCAAAACAAACTCAAACACATATTGGGTACCTTCTCTCAGAGTCTGATGTGGGAGGAAGGACTCGACCTGGTGCAGTCATTCAGCATCCGGGGCTACCAGGATCTGCCCTCTTCAGCATGTGGCTTCCAAGATTTCTTGGACCTCAACACCAGCTGGCTTGCCAGGGAAAGAGTGAGGATGGGCACTTTTCCATCATTGCACTGGCTGGAGCCATCACCTGGCCATGCCAAACTCAGGAGGTGAGGATTATAATCTACCTCTCTGCCCTGGAAGACCAGGAATAGTTTGGTGGTCAGCTAGCAGGGCTTTATTGTCACCTTGGAGATCACACATGCCCTTTCTCCAAAGGAAGTGACTCGTCCTATTAAGGCATCTATTGGCCTCCAAGCCCAGAATCACCCCTGCTACCTGGTCCTCTACTTCAGGTGTTGCTGTGGCTCCTTAGGTCTTGTAAACTCAAATCTGGGATCACTTACCTGCTCTCACACCACATACAGTGAGGGGACAGGGACAGAATAGCTGAGGTATCAAGTCCTATTTGGGAAAGGGACCATCAGGAAATGCAGCTGTCACTAGCCCCCAAATTAGAAAACTGCTAGAATTCATTGTGAAGAAGTTTATTTAAGGACCCAGTTCTCTTTGGAAGGAACTCCCTAGTCTATGGCCCCAAAGAGTTGGTGGCTTTTCAAATCTGGGTTGGTGGTTCCTTTGGTAAAACAAGTTACTTAGCACGTAATAGGCTTCTGGGTCTTCAGTCACTCTGAAGGCTGGTAACCATATTTGCAGTGCCTTCCTATGTGATCTGTGAGCCTGACTCACTGCTTTCTCAATAGAAGTATATTATTGGAATGGGAAAACCTTAGTGTGATTTTCGATGCAGGGCTGAGTCTTTCTGGGCTTGGTATTCAAAGGCTCTTTCAAACTTAGCTGGGATCTAAAAGGAGGAAATTGATTTTTTACAGCCCTTCAAAGCCCCATGTGTTTGGTTGGCTCTATTCCTTTTCATTTCTGCTTAGAACCAGCCAGTTCTTTCCTACACTCTTATCTTTCTTGTGATGTTTGTAACAGAGTTGACACATTGCCATGACTTTTCAGCTCTTACTCCTAGGCTAGAGAGAATGCAGTCAATCTACCCATGTTGCTACAGGAGACATGTTTTCTAGAAGTTTTGTCCTCTCAATAAAGAACACAGGTCTCAGGCTGGGGATGTAGCTCAGTGGTAGAGCCCTTGCCTGGCATGTGCATGACCCTGGGTTCAGTCCTCATTGCTGGGGGAAAATGGGGAGCTCCATTTTTTGGCTTCCCTTATCAATTTCCTTCAAACCTACCAAACTACTGTCATATTTTAGATTTTAAATTGTATGTCAGTAACAATTTCTATATTAAGGTGGGAGAACTGCTGCAACAAACCAACTCCAAATATCAGTTGCTTAACATAAAAGAACCAGGTCAGTCCTCCTTCACTAACCGTCCACTGTGGGTCCAGGCAGGTAGATGGGAAGGGGAAGAGGGCTCTTCTCCATGCTTCCATTTGGGAACCTGGCTTCCAGCACTGCTGGTCATTTTCCTGTGGCCCCACAGTTGCCCTGGCCTTCATTCAATTGAAGATGCGAGGGAGGGGAGAAACACATTTGAGAGGTTTTCATGGGACAGAGCTGGAAGTGGTTGCATTCATCACCTTTCCTGTTGCTAGGAGAAAATACATAAGCAACTTAAAGGAAAAAAGGTTTATTTTGTCTCGTGATTTCAGAGACATGGCTCCAAGGCAGGAACATCATGGCGGAGGGGCATAGTGGAAGAAAACTTCTCATTCACCACAGCCAGGAAGCACCATGGACAGGAAAAGCCAGAAAAATATGCCATGGAAAGCACCCTGCAGGGACCTGCTTTTGCAAGTGGCCCACAGCCTACCAGCCCATTCAGCTATCCTTATTGATGTACTGGGCCACTGATGAGGTCAGTGCCTTTATGAACCAGTTGCCTTCCAAAAGCACTTTGAAACGCATGACATATGGAAGATATTTTAGGTATAAACCATAACAGTGTATTATTACGGTATTACTACCTACTCCCACAAAATGAGTAGACCTGTGATCCCAGCACTTGGGAGGCAGAGGTAGGAGGATCACTGCAAGTTTAAGGCCAGCCTGAACTACATAGTGAGACCCTGTCTCAAAAAAAAAAAAAAAAAAAAAAGAATGACAAGAGCAAAAGCTATTTCTAGCCTGAGGTAGGAAGTAGTCTTTTTTAGACAGTCTCATTATTTAGTTCAGGCTGGCCTTGAACTCACTATGTAGCTCAGGCTGTCCTGGAACTCAAGATCCTCCTGCCTCGGCCTCTTGAGTTCTGGGATTATAGGCGTGCACCACCATACTCAATTCAGATCCCAATCTTGATATTTAATTTCTAGTACTCAGTAGAAGGGCCAGGGATTTAGCTCAATGGTTCCACCGCCTGCCTCGCACAAGGACCAGAGTTCCATCCCCAGAACCAAAAAAAACAAAAACAAAAACAAACCAAGACTAATGTTACTCAGTGGGGGCCTAGAGATTCATTCTAGGCTCTTGCCTTGAAAAAGGAATTGGTCGAGACAAGTGCAAAAGATAGGGGGATTTTACATCTATTAAAGGTAGACTGGGGCCAGGGATTTAGCTCAGTGGTTCCAGCACCTGCCTCCCAAGCGCAAGGTCCCGAGTTCGATCCCCGGTACCAAAAAAAAAAAGGTAGACTATGGTCCAGAGACCTTCTCTATGAGGGACAGGCCTCTCCCTGACATCTCTGTGCACATTGCAATTTAAGGAAGCATCCTCACTGGGGGGTTATAAAATGGGATATCTGCATCAAATGTATGCATTTGTTTTTAAATTTCACTTTAATAAAGTCCTGTGCAGCCATTAAAAAAAAAATAGGACAAGAAGTATGTGCTGTAGAGTGAATCAGGCTAATTAAAATAGGCAAAGAAGAACTAGGGATGTAGCTCAGTGGCACCATACCTGCCTGGCAAGCAAAAGGTCCTGAGTTCAATTTCCAGTACCGGAGAAAAAAAAAAAAGGAAAAACGAAAAAAAAATAGGCAAAGAAGTATGCTCTGCAGGGTGAGATCAGGCCACCACAGAGGGAGAACAGTGGCCGTGAGGTTTATGGCTGCCATCTTTTGTATCCTCCATTCTGAGTCAGATCTGGGCCGTCCTATCAAAAGCCTGTTTGATCTTGGGCCAGAAGAATTGAAGATAGAATTTTCTGATTGTTCCCAGGTGCAGGGCTTGGGCACGCGTCCTGGATCTCTGTGACTATCAGGTCACACCAACTTGCCCAGCCGCTTTGCCATGTCCTAATCTCCTGCTTCCCTAGGACTGGGGCTGCAGCTCAGGAGTAGAGTGCATGCGTGGCATCCACGAGGCCCCGGGTTTGATCTTTGACACAGCAAACAATAAAGACTGAAAGAATGGGGGTGTAGGGCCCGGGGATTTAGCTCAGTGGTTTCGCCGCCTGCTACACAAGCGCAAGTACCCAAGTTCAATCCCCAGTACCAAAAAAAAACAAAACTAAACTAAAGAATGGGGGTGTAAGTGTATTAGGTAGTTAAGTGTACGGGGCGGCGGGGGGTGCTTATGCCAGAAATCCATACAGCTTGGTGGGAGGTTCAAGAACTAAGATACCATAGTTCTAAATCCCAGAATATGTAGGGAGCAGAGCATAAAGCATTGGCATCTTACAAAGACAGATACTGCCTGCTTGTTCAGCGCTATTGATGTGCTAATGGGATTAATCAGCTACCATTCCTTATCTATGGAGTTTATCCCTACAAAAGAGCTACTGTGGCTTGGTTCCTCCTATAAAGTTATTAAAAGCCTATCTTTTCCCTATTCAACCCCAGAGACATGAAACTGAATTGCCTGAGCTACAGGTAGCCCAGCCTGCTCCTTCCAGCCTGCCTGAGAAGTAAATGGCAATTTTACCCTTCAGTTGTTCAAGCTAAAACTCTGACTCCTTTCCTTCACAACCTATATCCACTCCACCCTAAACCCTGTTGGCTCTACGTCAAAGTATATCAGAGGACTGGTCATTTCTAGAAGCCTGGTCCCAGCTGCCATTCCCTTCCACCTCAATTATATGTGTAACCAGTCCCTCTATTCCTGCCCTTGCCTGAGCACAACAGCTGGGACAAATTAAATTGGACTTCCTCAAAACCTCCAGTGGGGGGGCTGGGGATTTAGCTCAGTGGTTTCGCCACCTGCTGCTCAAGCACAATGACCTGAGTTCTATCCCCGAAACAAAACAAAACAAAAAAAACCCCTCCAGTGGGAGCTAGCATGGT